ATGTTTGAGTGATTTTGTTCAGTCTTGTTCTTCTCTGTCAGTGGTGTCAATGTGAGATGAGGTTCTGTATTCATCTTTCCGACCTCAACAAACAGAAAGCCACTTCTTCTTCTCCTTCCTATTTCTGAATCCAGAAAAGCCCCTACAATGAACTCAGGCCACTCTCTTTCAAAATATGTTTATGATAGGCAGTTCAAAACACACATTATACACCTGTGCAAGCATACAATATTCTCAAACCAACACAGTCTTTAAAAGAGCTCAACATAAAACAATATCAGAAGAACTATCAGCCCTGCTGTAGATTATACAACTGTTTCCCTGTGGGTTCAGGGCCTCAATTTTGGTGGAGAGAAACACAGACCTACTGTCCCGCCATCAAGCTGACTAATTCAGGGTTGGCTGATATTGGATGTTGAGGTGAAAACAGCAGATACGACCGCACAATGATTTAAGACTGAACCTAGCAGCAGCAGCAGCAGAAAAAGAAAAAGAAGAAAGAAAGAAAAAGAAAGAAAGAAGAAGAAAGAAGAAGAAGACAGGAGGAGTAGGAGGAGAAGGAGAAGGAGGATGAAGAGGAGAAGGAGAAGAAGAAGAAGAAAAATAACAACAACAAAACAACAACAACAAGAAAAAGAAGAACAAGATACAAAAGATGAAGAAGAACAAGAACAAGAAGGAGAAGAAGAAGGAGGAGGAGGAGGACGAAGAGAATAATAATAAGAATAAGAACAAGGAGGAGGAGAAGGAAGAGGAGGAGAAGGAAGAGGAGGAGGAGATAAGAAGAAGAAGAAAGACAACTACAACCTTTCAGTATACAGGAGATATGTGTATTTATATCACATTTGATGTACAGAAGATATGTTTGTTTATTCAATATTTTATGTACATAGCACGGAAAACTTGTAGAAAAGACTTTACAGGTTAAAATTAGAAGAAGAAAAAACGTTAGTTGCATATCCTGTACAGAAGAGCATTTCAAACATTTGTTCACAACACATTCAGTGCACTACTCAGCCAGAGGTTAAACTTCCAATACAGAAAAGTTCCTCAAACAACCTATGCTACGCCATTTCTAATAAGAGATGCAGACATATTTTGGCACAGCACACCTTCAAACTGAAGCCAACAAACAAATATGTATTGACTGTAGTTCAACACCCTAATGCATCATGTCACACCTTCAGACTGCAGTCAAAACACTAATGCATCGTGTCACACCATCATATTGCAGTCAACACACTAATGTGTCATGTCACACCTTCATACTGCAGTCAACTTACTAATGTGTCATGACATTTTCATACTGCAGTCAACATACTAATGTGTCGTGTCATACCATCATATTGCAGTCAACATACTAATGTGTCATGTCACACCTTCATACTGCAGTCAACATACTAATAGGTCATGTCACACCTTCATACTGCAGTCAACATACTAATGTGTCATGTCACACTTTTATACTGCAGTCAACATACTAATAGGCCATGTCACACCTTTATACTGCAGTCAACATACTAATGTGTCATGTCACACCATCATATTGCAGTCAACATACTAATGTATCATGTCACACTTTCATACTGCAGTCAACATACTAATAGGTCATATCACACCTTTATACTGCAGTCAACATACTAATGTGTCATGTCACACCTTCATACTGCAGTCAACATACTAATGTGTCATGTCACACTTTCATACTGCAGTCAACATACTAATGTGTCATGTCACACTTTCATACTGCAGTCAACATACTAATGTGTCATGTCGCACAGTTTGGAAAGCTCTGCTCTACAGGATTCTGCAAACCAGTCCAGGCAATTATTGGCTATTTGTGGTTTCTACTAGGCAATTTTAAGTTCATAGTTCATTGTTGCTCTCTGAAGGGTTCTATGCTTATACCACTGTCAAAATCAAACCAAAGCGATCTGCTGTTACATCGCCTGCAGTCAAATCAAATCCGGTTCATTTAAATTATGAAACTGTGTTGACAGTCCTTAAACCAAAGATGTCAAAGGACATTTCACGACCCTAGCCACACTCATACACAAATAATGTGATATTACATCATTTAACCAGATAAGCACATTATATAAAATACAACCAAATGAGGACATTACATGGTCCCATCAAAAAGACATAATCAAGCAAACATACAAGAGACAGACAAAACTGAAACTAACTAAGTCTGATAATGTAGACAGAAAAAGCTTAAAGCATCATGACAGATTACATACATTAGGTTGAAAGAAAAATCTGGAAGAACTATGGAAAAACATAAAATATATTTATAAATGGAAGGGGTGGGGGCAGGGGGCTGTGTGGTTTCGAGGCATGGTGTCCGAATCGAGTACTAGAGGTCTCACATTCAAGCACCAATGAGGACTGAGATTTTTTCGCATGGACTTCTTGATGCATGCGAGTTGGAAATTGAAAAGAGTAGCCTAACGGCACTGCCTGGGCAAAATTTTGAATTAAAAATCTACCTAAAGTATTTCAGGATCCCCGCTGGTGCAACAGAGTTTATGAACACTGCTGAGCTTCTTCAGACTCAGGCTTGAGTTAGAAGAAGAGCGGAGCACTTATGGATTACACTCGTGTGCCATGATGTTGATCCACTGAATAAACATAAACATATATATATATATATATACACACACACATACATATACTAGAGACAAGTTAAACTGGAAGAATATAAACAACAAAAGTACAGAAATAGAACAGCCCATGGAATGTTGGTAAGTTAAAAAAATATACATACAGCACTGAAAGCAACAAATGGAATGTTTCACATGTAATTATAACATTGATTCGGCATTTTCTCTATGAGGTGACTATTTGATTTTTCCTTTTGTAAGCATTCACCGGCTGTGAACTCCGGTGGAAAGTTCTGGTTGTTCGTCCACTTCTGGACTGTGGTCTTGTTCCAGAACTTGAGTTTTGTGTGCACATCTGGTTTACACATCCGGCTTATTTGTATGCAGATGGATGGTTGCTTGCCTCTCAGTAAATTGCAGTCCGACTTCGAAGAAAACTCCCCTAATTAGTCCCCTCTAGCGATATACTTGTTGGGGTAAAGGTGGGTCTATTCTCTGTCTGCCAGAATGGGTGCCCTAGAAACCCAAATTGGGACATTTATATTTGACTTCTCTACATATGGATTAAATACATATAGTTGTTAACTCTTTCAGGCCCAGGGAACACATCATACGTGCATAGGTTCCTATCTAGAAGCCCAATGAACGTAATATGCTTCGATTATATGTTTCTCTTTAACACCCCTTGGCCCTCTGATGCCAAACCCCCTGGGACTGAAAGAGTTAACTATCAGAGGCTACGTTAGTGCAGTCGATAGGAGACTCACTTTCAAATCCAGCTGCGACTCGCTGCAGCCCATGCCGGTGTTTGAAACCCGGTGGTTCCCAGTGTTCACCTAGCCTCTAGGTAATGGGTACCAGAGTTAACACTCTGGGGTAACTGGAGGAACGTCGCTGTAGCTACAGAGTTGCGTTTGGACGGTGACACGGGCGGACTTTTCTTATCAGCTGTCCGTACTGGTGGCAAAGCACTTATGTAACTTCTTCAACATATCTTCCAGCTGTTGTTGTCAGGTCACATACATACCTAAACATATTGACTTGATTCTCCTCCTCCTCTTCTCCTTCTCCTTCTGTGTTTGCCATTAAAATGTGGCTGGCATGTTGTGGTTTACTGCTTGGCTATGATAACTATGCCTTTTGGCCCAACACATACGATATTAGTAAACTCTCAATTAGTCAGCTGTTAAGACATGCTTGGTAAAGATGGCAGGTGGTTGTAAATTTTCCCAAAATAATGGAGCCCCCAGAACACACGGGGAAAGAATTGACTTGAATCAAAGTGTCATATCAAAAGTATACATGAAATAGGAGTATATTAACAGAAAATGACAGAAACAACTAGTACAATGGTCATGGCCGCTGCAATGGTCATGTATCAAGTTTGTGTTAGGGCAGGGATTTTTAAACAAGCTTCCAGATCGACCCACACTAAAGTGAGTACTAGGAAATGTTCAGGAAAGTAAAAGCAGCTCGCATGATACTGAATACATGACCCATGGAGTGCTGTTCCATAAATCCACCTGGGGGCAGCATCATGTACTTTTTTTTACATCTCAAACTTGGGAAAATAATACTTTCTTAACAACTGCCATATTCACTATGCACAATCTTATATATATGAAATATCAAATAAGTACAATAATCAGTAGAACTTTCATATAAAGTACTCATTAAACAACCAATCGAGCAGTATAACTTGCATATCAAATAAGTAATAACAAATTAGTATCAATCGCATATGACATGGATATCTACCAACAAACACAATGCTGTGATGTCAAACAGTGAAACAGCTGGGCTAGAACTTCAAGGAACTCACATCTCAAATCACATACAACTGTTTGTGACTGCTGGGAGTATTTGTAAACCAGTCAGACTATATGCGAAACAGCTGAGCTACCTGTAAAACAGCTAAGCTACTTGTGAAACAGCTGAGCTATCAGTGAAACAGCTGACCTATTTGTGAAACAGCTAAGCTACTTGTGAAACAGCTAAACTACTTGTGAAACAGCTAAGCTACTTGTGAAACAGCTGAGCTATCTGTGAAACAGCTAAGCTACTTGTGAAACAGCTGAGCTATCCGTGAAACAAATAAGCTACTTGTGAAATAGCTGAGCTATCTGTGAAACAAATAAGCTATCTGTGAAACAGTTGAGCCACCTGTGAAACCGCTGAGCCACCTGTGAAACCGCTGGGCTACCTGCGAAACAGCTGAGCTATCTGTGAAACAGCTGAGCTATCTGTGAAACAACTAAGCTACTTGTGAAACAGCTGAGCTACCTATGAAATAGCTAATCTACTTGTGAAACAGCTAAGCCACCGGTGAAACTGCTAGGCTACCTGTGAAACAGCTGAGCCACCGGTGAAACCGCTACCTGCGAAACAGCTGAGCTACCTGTGAAACAGCTTGGAATCACTGTAGTGGATGAGCGTATTGTTGTCCTGCAGGAAGTCTGTGTTGATATAATGCAGCTCATAGCAATAGGAGCGTTCCTTCTTAGTGTACACGGAGGTGTAGAGCCCAAATGGATTTTTTCTGTAGTTAAACTTCCTGAAGCCCATGATCTCAATCTGACGCAGTGTCTCGAACATGTGCACAAAGTCTAGTTTTTCCTTCATTGGATCTCGCAGCAAAGTCTCGTTTGCTGCCTTCAGACTGTGAAACATTTCTGGCGTGTGTATTTCAAAGCCTAGTTGTTTGACCAGCTTGAGGGAGCCGTCAGTGAGTGCTTGTCTCAGGCTCTCCCATTCCATGTACTCAATGTCGATTTTCAGATAGTCGATAGGAACCTGACAACAGAACATCAGTGTGGGGGGAAATAATGTATGGCATCAGTGTGGGGGAATAAGGTATGGAGCATCAGTGTGGGGGAATAATGTATGGAGCATCAGTGTGGGGGAATAATGTATGGGCATCAGTGTGGGGGAATAACGTATGAAGCATCAATGTTGGGGAATAATGTATGGAGCATCAGTGTGGGGGAATAATGTATGGATCATCACTGTGGGGGAATAATGTATGGGCATCAGTGTGGGGGAATAATGTATGGGCATCAGTGTGGGGGAATAACGTATGAAGCATCAATGTTGGGGAATAATGTATGGATCATCACTGTGGGGGAATAATGTATGGATCATCACTGTGGGGGAATAATGTATGCAGCATCAGTGTAGGGGAATAATGTATGCAGCATCAGTGTGGGGGAATAATGTATGCAGCATCAGTGTAGGGGAATAATGCATGGAGCATCAGTGTGGGGGAAAAACATATGGAGCATCAGTGTGGGGGAATAATGTATAGAGCATCAGTGTGGGGGAGGGGGAATGACATATACAACATCAATGTGGGCGAGTAATATATTCAACATCAGTGTGGGGGAATAACATACAGAGCACAGATGTTGGGGAATAGCGTTGAGAACAACAGTTGCCACCTCCTGCAGTTCCATCTATGCCTGTCCTGTTATTCTATACTGCCTGAAATTCTCCTGTCCATGTGTTTCTGAGGCTTCTATCTCTTCTGCCCTGTGGGTTCGAGTGTAAGGACATTCTAGTTATATTATGACCAGCTGTTCTCAATGTGTGTCATATCTAGTATCAGTATTCATTCTTCCCCTCTTGATTCACTGGAATTTGTTTATTTCTCTCAGTAAGTTCTGTATCAGAGATTCAGTGAAACATGTACCGGTATGCTGTTCCATTTTCCTGTTTCGTTGAGCTTCTTAGTCAAAATAGAGTAGACTGATTTCTTGGTATTAACCTGACCCAGCCACATTTATTTTCATCCCCTTTTTTATTCCTTCATCGGAGGTTGCCCCAAACACTTGAACACAACTCTGAAACTTACCTCCAAAAATCCCTCGTCTTGAAAGTGTTGCCGTAACGTTTTCAGCTTCCAACCCTTTTTGCCAATTCCATTAGTGGCTGCCAAACCAATCCTGCGGAACTGAATCATAGTGTTGTGGGGGACTTCCTGCTCCTTCATGCTGGGCCAGAGAAACATGTTATCTTCAGTGGCTGAGCAGTGAGTCATTAAATTAGATCACACACTGGGAGCCATCATAGGGTAGCAGCTAATTGTTAGCCTGTGGATCCAAAGGTCGAGGGTTCAAATACGAACGCAGCTGGACTTTTATAAAGAAATGACCCTGGCTCCCAGGTCGACCCAGCCATAAACGGATACCAGGTAAAGTCCTGGGAAGTAAAGGCAGCTGGCATGATGTACATGCTGATTAAAAAAATATAGATCTAGCACTGTATATGCGATATGCTGAAGATGTGGAAAATTGTCCTTTATTGTTAATTGTTTTTCATTTTCATTTTTAAACTTTACATCAGATATCTGAGTCATGGTTACTAGAGGTGTCCTTAGGTGGTGCAGATATAAAACCGAACAAAAAGTATATCAGAAAGCTTCACCATTTAATAAACACAAACAAAACGTGAACGTTGTGGCTATGGAGCCTTCTTCAGTATATGCATAGATTAGACAATACAACACAAATACACAATATCCCTTATCTTCAGATCTCGTGGCAGCCAGGTCGATGTCAAGACAATAGTCTGGCGAGGCACATGGGGCCAGGAAAATAAATATCTGGGTTATGCCAGGGGCCGTCACTCGAGTATAAGATGAAACTGTGTAGGCAGTTTAGCCCCCTAGGTTTTAGATGAAGCTGTGTTGGCAGTTTAGTCCACTGAGCGCCAGAGTTTCCAAAACTGTACATAAAGCAGTTTTCAAGAGACTTGAAAACTCTGTCGCTGGAGTGGATAGATTTAATGGCTGTCACCTCCATGTCATGGACACCTTGGTGGTCCTGGGAATTGAAATGCAGTGGTATTGGTTTCAGGGCGCCGCTTTGCACATCCAAAAGATGTTGTCTGAACCTGTCAGCCAGTAGTAAACCCATTTCCCCAATGTATTTCATGCCACATCTCTAGCAGCTGATGGCGTAAATGACATTACGTTTCGTGCAATAGAATGCTGTCTATCAGACAATTGTGGCATGCACAAATACCGTTTCATCTGCATTTACTTTTGCTTGCGGTAGCAATGCAGAGATTAAACAGCACAATAAACCTATGACTAATGTACATGAGCTGAAGTGAACAATTTTGAGATCATATATATCTCCTGTGGCAACTTATGAGCTGAAGTAAACAATTTTGAGATCATATATATCTCCTGTGGCAAATTATGAGCTGAGGTAAACAATTCTGAGATCATATATATCTCCTGTGGCAAATTATGAGCTGAGGTAAACAATTCTGAGATCATATATATCTCCTGTGGCAACTTATGAGCTGAGGTAAACAATTCTGAGATCATATATATCTCCTGTGGCAACTTATGAGCTGAAGTAAACAATTTTGAGATCATATATATCTCCTGTGGCAACTTATGAGCTGAAGTAAACAATTTTGAGATCATATATATCTCCTGTGACAACTTATGAGCTGAAGTAAACAATTCTGAGATCATATATATCTCCTGTGACAACTTATGAGCTGAAGTAAACAATTCTGAGATCATATATATCTCCTGTGACAACTTATGAGCTGAAGTAAACAATTCTGAGATCATATATATCTCCTGTGACAACTGATGAGCTGAAGTAAACAATTCTGAGATCATATATATCTCCTGTGACAACTGATGAGCTGAAGTAAAAGTCCCCCATGAAAACCCATATGGGCCACTGAATGTTGATTTAGCTGTTAGAATAGCTACAAGAAACACATTTGTGAAAAGACAAAAATCATGTACACAACAGCTATGTCTCAAAACAAACACAGAACATTGAAACATAATCACCTGGGGTCAAAGGCCATCACTTGACAGCCATAATTACCAGTGACACTATCATCAAACTGCCAGTCATAGCCAATCCTGGAGGAAAGAATCAACAAATCAAAGATCTTTCACATTTCATTCATCATTTCCCCGGTGTGGGTTCCGAGAGACCAGTTGTGGGGAAAAATAGGATAGATCCACTCTCCCCAACCAGAAGGTCGTAAGAGTCAACTTATTGGGGGCTTCCTTCGAAGTTGAACGGCATCTGTCGGAGAGCCAAGGAACCAACAGTCTGCATACAAATAAGCCAGATCTGTAAAATGGATGCGTACACAAAACTAAAGTTTTGGAACAAGACTTAACGCCAAAAGTGGATGAACAGGCAGAACTTTCTGCTGAAGTGTACAGCCTGTCCTTACCAAGGTGGTTATCCATCTTAATGTAATTCTACTGATTGTTTATGTAAAAACATCAACAATAATGATGATGATGATGATAATACACACAACAAACTATTTTCACAACAGTGACCTGACCTCATCATGAGTCACCAAGTCCTTTACAGAACCTGACTCCTGTCACAACATTTCTGAAAGTCTCTATTTCTCTAGACAATTCTCCAGCCCTATGTGCTGTCAGAGCCAATATATTCTCAATGTTCTGTAGCTACTTTCATAGAAGTTTGCCCCTATCTCCATCTGACTTCACAGGTCACAGATGAAACACAACACATTGCAAATAGCCAGTCTCCAAAAGCTAAGTGGTTAAGCCATTAGACTTGCACTCTGATGGCTTGAGTTCATTTCCCAATGTACTATTTGGTCAATGAGTGTAGATATTAAGGGATCTTTGCTGAGGCTACAGTGTTCTGGCTTTGTGTGATGCTCTTCCTAGGGTACTAGCCAATCTATTGCAGGGACTGAGCAATGTAGGATAAAACTTAACACAACCAAATATAGTTAACAGACATCAAGTCCCAAACATCACTCAAGTCCCAAACATCACTCAAGTCCCAAACATCACTCAAGTCCCAAACATCATTCAAGTCCCAAACATCATTCAAGTCCCAAACATCACTCAAGTCCCAAACATCACTTAAGTCCCAAACATCACTCAATTCCCAAACATCACTCAAGTCCCAAACATCACTTACCCAAAAGAAAACACCACACACGGCTGTTTGAGGTCGTATGGCGGAGACAGGCACACATTCCAGCCGCCATCATGCCAGTTGCCTACTCGGACATCTTTGTCACAGCGGACATCTTTGTTTTCTAAATAGCTTCAGGTGAGAGAGAGAGAGAGAGAGAGAACGTGGTATTAATTAATTCAGTATTTTTTATAGGTTACATGCCTGTATAGACAGAGATAAAATAATTTGTCTGTACTCATCATATATGTCAGAGACAGAGGAGGAGGAAGAAGTAGAGAAGCAGAAGAAGAAGAGGAACAAAAAAACAAAATAATTTTAAAAAAACACAAGAAGCAGCAGAAGATGTATAAGAAAAAAGAAACAGGAGAAGCAACAAAAACACAAGAAGGAGGAGAAGGAGAAGAGGAAGAAGCAGCACCAGCAGCTATAGTAATTACCTGAAGAAAGCCTCCTCAACTCTCTCCAAACTCCAGCCAATGTTTATGGAGAGAGGCGGGAGCTGCTTGACATGTACCCGGTGAGCCGGACGAGGGGTCGGCCTCTGGGGAATACAGGTAAGAAACAAAGGTCAAGGTCGCACTTCCGTACCTTCAAGTCTACTGGGTATCTAGCATTAACCCTATTTCAGCCACATCCAGCTCCATGGCAGTTTGGAAACAACTGCAGCAAAGGGCATGGTGCCAGGAAAGAGAGGCAGGAGCTGACTAGCATGAAGATGGGCAAAGGATATAAGTGACACCATAGTTAAGAAAATGCAGGAGGTGGGAGAGCTGGCGAGAGATCAAGTTTATTTCAGGCAGGCTGTGGCGGCAGCTACATGATGATGATGAAAAAACAATAAAATCTGACCATAGCAGGGCTAGAATGTCCTTTAAGTGAAACTGACAGAGCAAAGGAGACAGAGTAAGACAGAAAGTGAAGAGTGTTAGTTAGAGATGTGTCATACACAAAGCGGATGGACAGGAAGCAGCAGAAAATGACAAAAGACACGACTTCCACCTTTAGGACATATGTTTAGATGATAGGTGAACAATACAAAAAGAATCAGCATTCAATGGATGACTCTTCAGTACCACGTCAGCCGCCTTTACCTCCCACACAACATTTCCTGATGCACATTTTCAGACAGGGTCAATAAAATATCTGGCTCAATGGACTTGAGTTGCGCATTCAATGACAAATATTTACAAATATTTCACTTCTAATCCTCAACATTCCCCCCCCCCCCCCCCCCCCTCCAACATAATTTAATATGATACATTTAAGTTTTCCCGGCACAATGTTGTTTATGAGCCAGATTTCTTTAATGTTCAGAATGTCTATAGTTTGTTCCATTTGATCCAAGAATGTTTCTGTGCATTGTTAAGTTTCAAGGTTTCTACTGTCTTCTTTAGGAATGACATTATGACTCTTGCAAGAAGAAGTGTTAGAGCTGTTACAGTATGTGTGAGTGAGACCCTGTGTGTGCATGAAACTGTGTGAGTGTGTCTGAAACAGCCTAATGCGCTTGTCTCCCTGTGACCACACAAACCTAGCACTGTGCTGTACATACCAACACCAATAAACATTTCCACTGCAAGCCAATCCTGTCTGCCTGTGGTTTGACTAAGCAATTTAATGTTCAGTAGTTTGCCACTGCTTTCTGACTGGTTCAACACTCATACTGTTGCGGAAATCAAAGCTGTCTGTTGCCCAATCCCCGCCAGTTGATTTCAAGCCCAGTATGTCAGAATAATGAAACTGTGCTCGTAATACCGCAAAGAAATATATATATATTACCCATGTGATTCTGGGGTCTCAATGTGGGGGGGGGGGGGGGGCATAGACCCACTGCCCTTCTAATAAGTCTGCATCTGCCAGAGAGGTAAGTAACCAACAGTCTGCACATAAATAAGCCAGATCTTTACAATGAATGTGCATGCAGAATTCAAGTTCTAGAACAAGACCAAAGTCCAGAAGTGGACAAACAACCAGAACTTTCAGCTGCAGCTTACAGCTGGTGAACACTGAAGAGAAGAAAAAGACCACCCATGTGAATCAAACAAACAAACAAACAAACAAACAAACAAACCTGTGTGGTCTCATCATGGAGTAGAAGTTTCCACAACTTTGGGTCTACATCAGGCACACCTCTGTAGGAGGGTCGAGTGCGTCGGTGATACTCCCGCACCACAACCAGCAGGCAGGTGAGTAGGACGGCACCTCCCACTATAACAACACGCTTCAGGTACAGACGTGGCATCTTGCTTGAGATTCCTGATGAATGGACGATAACAAAGTTAGGATTTTGACAATAGTATTTCCATGGAAGGCAACATGGCCTTCAGACTGGACCCTTTAATAAAGATGGTGGATAGCATTCGTTATAATTGTATTTACAAACAAAGTTAGGATGTTGACAACAGTATTCCCATGGAAGGCAACATGGCCACCAGACTGGACCCTTCAATAAAGAAAATGGCCCACTAAGCATATGATGCTAGGATCATATTTATTTCGACCAACTGGCTCTCGAAGGGTGAATATAACAGCCACTGTTGTCAGTTCCGATGACATTCCTGGTACCTGCAAACTGTGTCGACAATCCTGGTACCTGCAAACTGTGACGACATTCCTGGTACCTGCAAACTGTGACGACATTCCTGGTACCTGCAAACTCTGTCAACATTCCTGGTACCTGCAAACTGTGACGACATTCCTGGTACCTGCAAACTGTGTCGACAATCCTGGTACCTGCAAACTCTGTCAACATTCCTGGCACCTACAAGCTGTGTCGACATTCCTGGCACCTACAAGCTGTGTCGACATTCCTGGCACCTACAAGCTGTGTCAACATTCCTGGCACCTACAAGCTATGTCGACATTCCAGGCACCTACAAGCTATGTCGACATTCCAGGCACCTACAAGCTATGTCGACATTCCAGGCACCTACAAGCTGTATCGACATTCCTGGCACCTACAAGCTGTGTCAACATTCCTGGTACCTACAAGCTATGTCGACATTCCTGGCACCTACAAGCTATGTCGACATTCCAGGCACCTACAAGCTGTGTCGACATTCCAGGCACCTACAAGCTATGTCGACATTCCTGGCACCTACAAGCTATGTCGACATTCCAGGCACCTACAAGCTGTGTCGACATTCCTGGCACCTACAAGCTGTGTCAACATTCCTGGTACCTACAAGCTATGTCGACATTCCTGGTACCTACAAGCTGTGTCGACATTCCTGGTACCTACAAGCTGTGTCGACATTCCTGGTACCTACAAGCTATGTCGACATTCCTGGTACCTGCAAACTGTGTCGACATTCCTGGTACCTACAAGCTGTGTCGACATTCCTGGTACCTACAAGCTGTGTCGACATTCCTGGTACCTACAAGCTATGTCGACATTCCTGGTACCTGCAAACTGTGTCGACATTCCTGGTACCTACAAGCTATGTCGACATTCCTGGTACCTACAAGCTGTGTCGACATTCCTGGTACCTACAAGCTATGTCGACATTCCTGGTACCTACAAGCTGTGTCGACATTCCTGGTACCTACAAGCTGTGTCGACATTCCTGGTACCTACAAGCTATGTCGACATTCATGGTACCTGCAAACTGTGTCGACAATCCTGGTACCTGCAAACTCTGTCAACATTCCTGGCACCTACAAGCTGTGTCGACATTCCTGGTACCTACAAGCTGTGTCGACATTCCTGGTACCTACAAGCTATGTCGACATTCCAGGCACCTACAAGCTGTGTCGACATTCCTGGCACCTACAAGCTGTGTCAACATTCCTGGCACCTACAAGCTGTGTCAACATTCCTGGCACCTGCAAACTGTGTCGACATTCCTGGTACCTACAAGCTGTGTCGACATTCCTGGCACCTACAAGCTGTGTCGACATTCCTGGCACCTACAATGTGTCAACATGCCTGGCACCTACAATCTATGTCAACATTCCTGGCACCTACAAGCTGTGTCGACATTCCTGGTACCTACAAGCTGTGTCAACATTCCTGGTACCTACAAGCTGTGTCGACATTCCTGGCACCTACAAGCTGTGTCGACATTCCTGGTACCTACAAGCTGTGTCAACATTCCTGGCACCTACAAGCTGTGTCGACATGCCTGGCACCTACAAGCTATGTCAACATTCCTGGCACCTACAAGCTGTGTCGACATGCCTGGCACCTACAAGCTGTGTCAACATTCCTGGTACCTACAAGCTGTGTCGACATTAATGGCACCTACAAGCTGTGTCGACATGCCTGGCACCTACAAGCTATGTCAACATTCCTGGTACCTACAAGCTGTGTCGACATTCCTGGTACCTACAAGCTATGTCAACATTCCTGGTACCTACAAGCTATGTCAACATTCCTGGCACCTACAAGCTGTGTCGACATGCCTGGCACCTACAAGCTATGTCAACATTCCTGGCACCTACAAGCTGTGTCGACATGCCTGGCACCTACAAGCTGTGTCAACATTCCTGGTACCTACAAGCTGTGTCGACATTAATGGCACCTACAAGCTGTGTCGACATGCCTGGCACCTACAAGCTATGTCAACATTCCTGGCACCTACAAGCTGTGTCGACATTCCTGGCACCTACAAGCTATGTCAACATTCCTGGCACCTACAAGCTGTGTCGACATTCCTGGTACCTACAAGCTGTGTCGACATTCCTGGTACCTACAAGCTGTGACGACATTCCTGGTACCTACAAGCTGTGTCGACATTCCTGGTACCTACAAGCTGTGTCGACATTCCTGGTACCTACAAGCTGTGTCAACATTCCTGGCACCTACAAGCTGTGTCGACATTCCTGGCACCTACAAGCTGTGTCGACATTCCTGGTACCTACAAGCTGTGTCGACATTCCTGGTACCTACAAGCTGTGTTGATATTCCTGGCACCTACAAGCTATGTCAACATTCCTGGTACCTACAAGCTGTGTCAACATTCCTGGTACCTACAAGCTATGTCGACATTCCTGGTACCTACAAGCTGTGTCGACATTCCTGGTACCTACAAGCTATGTCGACATTTCTGGTACCTACAAGCTGTGTCGACATTCCTGGTACCTACAAGCTGTGTCCACCTCAGATACATGTTCACTGTTTTCTTTAAATCCACAGATTCAAACCATGACCTCTGTGTCAGCAGTCAAGCATCTAGCCACTGCACTACCAAATATCTCCTAATATTTACATGCTATACATTAAATATATATACATATCCCATACCTGAATGGATTGCCTTCATCATGTTTAAGCTTTACATAAAAATTCCTCTTCTAACTTCATATGCCAGGAAAATCGGTTGGTGGGCGTATCATTAACAAACTGCAATGTGCTGACAATACAGTTTTGAATAATGAAAATGAAACAACTGCAAGAAAAGATAGACATAATCGTAACAGAAAGTGAACACAAGGGTCTTAGCTTGAACAGCAGAAAAACTGAAGTAATGGTAATTACAAAGAAAACTGACCCTCAAAAATGCAAAATCAAAGTAAATGGGACAAACCTCAAGCAAGTTGATATGTTTAAGTACTTGGGTTCCCTGATAACATCAGATGGAAGATGTATTCCGGAAGTTAAATGCCAAATAGCTCAAGCAAAGGCAGCATTTTACAAAATGAAGAATATTTTATGCAATCTTTCTTTGTCAATTGAGAAGAGAAAGAGAATTCTTAAAAACTATATAAATCCTATCTTGATATACGGAAGTGAATCAAGGACAGTTGGTAAATTAGTGAAAACATATTTGGAAGCTGCAGAAATTTGGTTTTATAGATGAATGATGAGAATACCCTGGACAGATAAAAAGAGTAATAAAGAAGTCTTGAAAGAAACTGCCTCACAAAAGAAACCGATTACCAACATCAAAAAGAGACAATCTACTTTCTTTGGTCATATGATGAGAAGGAGAAAACTGGAGGGCATTGTGACAACAGGAAAGCTGGAGGGGAGGGAAGGAGATTGAGACCGAGAGAACAGATGCCGGAAAGTCTGACATCATGACATGGAGGATCATCTGTGTTAGAGTTGATTGAAAGTACATGAGACAGAAGGTTGTGAGCAGACATGATTACCAATGCCACATGGTTTGGACTTTGAGAAGAAGCTCTTCATCTATTGACCCTACTGGAGAACATCATCATGTAGCCAGTTCATTGCAGAACATCACTTTCATCACAGTCTGCCTGAAAGAAAACTCAGTCTCTCACCAATTCTCGTGCACTTTACTTCCCTAGCTGTCATTTAGATCATGTACATATCTTTGTGCTGCCCTCTGCCCCTCTCTGCTGCTACCATGACTTCTGTTCCTATTCTTTTCCAATTCTGCTGAAGTACTGAGTTGAGCTAAGTCAAGAATTAACATCACAGCACTCAGGACATTCCCATGTGTGCTCCGTCTCAACTTCAGCAGCCAGCACAGAGTTCCAATACTAATGCTACAGCGCTGTACTAACACTCTAGCGTTTGATATGGGAACAAATAAGGGGAGAGAGCATTGCTTTTTAAAAATGATAAAAACTAGAACAAGCAAAAAGTACACAGGATGATAGTTGATAGCAATAAATTGTTATCTTGACAAAACATTTCATACCAGCAATGTCTCCACCATCGGACACACAAGTAGAATATTCATTGGAGGTCATAATCAGATGGAATGTCCGAGATCATTGTTGTTCATCGTTTTCTTGACATTGTTACTGCTAGAAGGAATGTTTGTTTGAGGCTAGTGTTGCAAGTTAAAATGTTCCATCAAAGTCACTGCTTCAAGAAGAAATGTTTATATATCTGAGATCTCTTGTGGGAGATGGAATATTGTTACATCCAACTTTTTTTTTCCATTGTGAAGAACAATAGGTACTAATAGAAATGTGAGACCATCACCTGTACCAGTACAATACTGTGAAGACTAATGTATAACTGTGCTAATAAGTTTATAGATGATTATTTTTTACTAATAAAATACAAGGACAGAAATCCATAAAAAATCCAAAGACAAACATTTATGACAGAGGACAATGATGCTAGAGTGGATTCTATCTTTAATATAGAAAAGATTGCACAGGAGAGAGTGGGAATGAAGGAATTATCTTGTCTGAAAGAATGGGAATGAAGGAAATGTCTTGTCTGAAAGAGTGGGAATGAAGGAAATGTCTTGTCTGAAAGAGTGGGAATGAAGGAATTGTCTTGTCTGAAAGAGTGGGAATGAAGGAAATGTCTTGTCTGAAAGAGTGGGAATGAAGGAAATGTCTTGTCTGAAAGAGTGGGAATGAAGGAATTGTCTTGTCTGAAAGAGTGGGAATGAAGGAATTGTCTTCAAGTGCTATATGATGTATTAACAGCAGAACAGGATAAGGAAGATGATGATGATGGTATGATAGTTCAATGGCTGTCAACATGCCTGGCAACTAGAGGTTGTAAGTGCAAATCCCTACCGAAGCAGATGTGTTAAAACAGACTGACTCCCAAGTCAACACAGACTAGAATGTCAACCAGGAAGTGTGCTGTGAAGCAAATGTGGTTGTCATACTGACCAAACAACCCATAAAGTGCTGACTGCTCTATAAAAATAATAGGCCAGGGCTGGATAAATGTTATTAGACTGTGAAACAAAACCAAGAAATGACAGAGTTAATTAACTAATGAGCAGACAGATCAGTAGCATACAACCAAACTAAAGGAATGATCCCCTGAAACTGAAAGCTGCCAAAACCAGCCAGCAAATGACAATAATACTACCAGAACAAACGGTTTTCCTTTAAATAACGGTCACTAGCTGGAAAGCCGACGGTCGCTTAGTCGGAGTTCACTCCCTTGGCTGCATTGCAAATACGAAGCATAAAGAAGGAACGAAACAAATGACATACTTACCTGTCATCATACGGTTGCGTAGGGTGTAGGGTTAGGGTGTGGGTTAGGGTTAGGGGTAGGGTTAGGGTTAGAGTTAGATGTTAAAATTTTGACGCAGGAGTTCCAAATGATGGCCGACAATCAGATGCTTGTGGCAGTGGCGCCACTGGAATTCTCTTAAATATGACAGCAATAGCGCGTGGCTGGTGCCCAATTGATGGCGAATTGTCCGTTTGAGTAGCATCCACAGTCCTTCAATTGTTTGGGTGTGTATATCACTGTGCGCGATTATTTGGAACTCCTGAGTCAAAATTGTCACATTTAACCCTAACCCAAACCCTAACCACGCAAACTTATCGGTCATTAAGGCATACAGATCTGCAGGAGTCACATCCATGGCAACTAAGTCGTGCGTTGCAAGAACGTGGTTGCTAATGTGAGTTGGAGCTCGATGTCTAACTGCCATGTTGACCTTGTTTTTGATTCATGACTTTTCCACTCCGTATTTGCAATGCAGCCAAGGGAGTGAACTCAAGCTAGCGACCGTTATTTTAAGGAGAGCCGAACAAACTGTTCTACACATCAAAATTGGACCCAGTCAACTACATGGGCAAATAAATATAACACATTTCACCGGTATCTCAGACATCATAGACAGTTGACCCATTACTCCACGACTGCCTTCATGAACACTCAAAACAAGGCAAACTCCCGCCTCCCCCGAATGTAAATTCTTCATGTCATGGAAGTAAAGTTTATGATCGCTGAGTGAACTGTTCAGTTTAGGCCATGTAGATATATATATAATCTACATGATAGGGCAGACGTGGTTGGTGCCTAGTGGGAGAGTGTGAACAATGCGGAGGAGCAGATGGATCACCACAGTTTGGTGAGATTGATGCAGTTGGGGGTGACGAGAGGTTCTGGCAGAACCTCAAGGCTCAGAGGAAAGGCAAGACGGGCATTTAATCAGAAAGCTACTGGCACCATTAGTATCGGAACTCTTCGCTGGCTGCTGAAGATGGAGACGGAGCCCTTATTTATGCTTATGGGAATGCTCCGGGTGCTGTGATTCGGTTCTTGAATCAAATCATATATAATCTATTTCAAGTTAACAAAGAGGAAGTCTCATTAAAACAGATGAGTGGCAGAGTTCACAAACTGTTTTCCAGAGTCGTAACAGTCAATGCCCCAGTAACTCACACACAGAGATGTCTGCTGCAAACCTGACCATCTGCCATTGAACGGTGGTGAATATAAAATTAGATTATAATTTGTGTTTTTATAAAGCCTTTCTGTAAAAACTTGTTTCAGTCACAAATAATTTTACTAACAGGATGTGTACACACTTAAAATATGTACCATTTCATTGTATTTTAAGTTCTTAGAAAACTCCTAAACTAACTTTGAAAAAAATTCAACTAAAACGCAATCATTCTTGTCCTTCCATAGTGAAGAGTTCGCTGTTCTCACGATCTTCCAGTTCTCCTACAGCGAAGAGTTCGCTGTTCTTACGATCTTCCCGTTCTCCCACAGTGGAGAGTTCGCTGTTCTTACGATCTTCCCGTTCTCCCAAGAAGAGAAGAGTTCACAGTGAAGAGTTGAGTCAAACTGGCTGCAGAAACTTGTTTTGTTACATCTGGGCTGTGAAGCGGTCTTGTGATATTGTGGGATCGTTTCTTACCCTAACGGACTACTGTATTGCAACAGGCAGAGAAGGCGTGTTTGGTGCTGAAAGTAGGTGCAAAATAATATTTAATATTTAAGCTTTACGTAATTCACTTCAAAGTTAGAGTGCACGAATTTTGAAAATTTAAAAGTTAAATAGTTTGTCATTTGCAAAGCATTAATAGTAATACCATACCCTGTCGACTGTCGTCACCTGTGTGATGATGATTGTGGTTGAACAGCTGTTCTGCATAGAGAAAGTAAGCCATTTCGAATAATACTTAATTGATGCAATAGAGTTCCTACTCTTTTTGAGTGAGCTTTTTTGACTTTTTTTTTTTTTTTGGGGGGGGGGGGGGGGGGGTTATTTTCTGTTTAGCAACCACATCACTTAACATTTTGAGACATCCCATATTATGGGGGGGGGGGGGGGGGGTTAGTGTTAAATGAATAAACCCCACCCCTCCCCCTATAGTATGGGATTGCCCTAAATCTCGCATGATGTGGTTTCTAAACAGAAAAAAAAATCAATCTTTTGAATGGTGACCCTTGGGTTAGGGTTATCCCTAAAACAATATTAAACATGAAATAATTGTATTATGTGACCTTACACAAATAATGGATTATGTCCCCTAGGGTCGGCACTTAAAGTAATGTCAACTTACAGTAAATTGTGTTCCTGGATTGCCGTTCGAAGGAGTGCCCAAAAAAGTTGCTGGTACTCACCACAGTGCCTATGAAAAAGGTGCTCACCACCAATCTGGAGGTTTGTTACAAAAGCACTGAAAAAATGATGCCAAAAAAAGGTGCTAGTACTGGGTACCATCAGTAAAAAATGCTCTGTGTTTCTGCCATTATTAAGTTTCTACTGTGTCTGAAGCTGAAAGAGTAAGTTGTTGTTTATGTTGCAAAAAACCTCACTAACAAGCAAACATAAAAATTTAACTCATCATAACATAAAAATTATTTACCTGAATGGAATCAGTCTTTATTTTTTAACTGTTCATTGTTATTTTTTAAGTCAAGGAAGTCAATGAAATCAGATAAATGTTTGTACAGCCATTAAAACAAACAGTTGTGAGACAAAAAGATGGAATGAAGAACGATCAGCAGAAGCAGACGAGAGACATGATGCTTGGCAGTTTGAGCAGGTGACATGGACGATGGAATATCAACAAAAGTATTGATCCAGAACACAAAGATCCAGAATCTGAAAAGAGAGTTTATGCCTCTGCAAGGCAAACAATAATTATTACTTTATTTAAATGAAGACTGTTGGTAAATTATTATGGTTGATCTTTTTAAGCAATGACTGACACGAACATTTCCCCGATCAGTGAGACATCAACGCAGGGGGATGATGTGTACCAGGATGTGGCCAGGGCGTCTAATCTCTTGACAGGTTGGCTCATTTATTCAGTCATTTCTTATTATTTATGATTGATTGCACTCGGTTTGAGAACATATGTCTTTTATGTCGCAGTACATGGTTGTAAATCCTGGACTGTTTTATAATAACTAAACAATAAATTTAAAGCTTTTAAACTTTATGACCAAAAAAAAAACAACAACAACAAAGCCTGTGAATCAAGAATTTTTTTTAATTTTGCATTTCTATAAGATCTTTGCCCTTATCTGTTATGCCTTATGGCAAAACCATCCAGGTATTTATCTTTGTCTTCCTCTAGCTTTTTTTAAACTCAGTTTTGCCAGTTGTCACTAAATTTTCATTACATATATCTTGACTGCATAATTTATTTTCTCTTATCTGTTTCTTGAAATACAATGTTATTGTTTTGTCTTTCCATGAAATTCTTTGCTCTGTCTCCTCAGAGAACATACTTCTGCTGTTGCCAGATGTTAGAGTTTGTTTTCTTATTGTCTATGTCTCACATTCATTCACAGATGTTACACAGCTTGTGTTCTTATTGTACATGTCTCACATTCATACATAGATGTTACACAGCTTGTGTTCTCATTGTCCATGTCTCACATTCATACACAGATGTTACACAGCTTGTGTTCTTATTGTACATGTCTCACATTCATACACAGATGTTACACAGCTTGTGTTCTTATTGTACATGTCTCACATTCATACACAGATGTTACACAGCTTGTGTTCTCATTGTCCATATCTCACATTCATACACAGATGTTACACAGCTTGTGTTCTCATTGTCCATATCTCACATTCATACACAGATGTTACACAGCTTGTGTTCTCATTGTCCATATCTCACATTCATACACAGATGTTACACAGCTTGTGTTCTCATTGTCCATGTCTCACATTCATACACAGATGTTACACAGCTTGTGTTCTCATTGTCCATGTCTCACATTCATACACAGATGTTACACAGCTTGTGTTCTCATTGTCCATGTCTCACATTCATACACAGATGTTACACAGCTTGTGTTCTCATTGTCCATATCTCACATTCATATACAGATCGATGTTACACAGCTTGTGTTCTTATTGTCCATGTCTCACATTCATACACAGATGTTACACAGCTTGTGTTTTTATTGTCCATATCTCACATTCATACACAGATGTTACACAGCTTGTGTTCTCATTGTCCATGTCTCACATTCATACACAGATGTTACACAGCTTGTGTTCTCATTGTCCATGTCTCACATTCATTCACAGATGTTTCACAGCTTGTGTTCTCATTGTCCCTGTCTCACATTCATACACAGATGTTTCACAGCTTGTGTTCTCATTGTCCATGTCTCACATTCATACACAGATGTTACACAGCTTGTGTTCTCATTGTCCATGTCTCACATTCATACACAGATGTTTCACAGCTTGTGTTCTCATTGTCCATGTCTCACATTCATTCACAGATGTTTCACAGCTTGTGTTCTCATTGTCCATGTCTCACATTCATACACAGATGTTAGAGTTTGTTTTCTTATTGTCCTAGTCTCACATTCATACACAGATGTTTCACAGCTTGTGTTCTATTGTCCATATCTCACATTCATACACAGATGTTAGAGTTTGTTTTCTTATTGTCCTAGTCTCACATTCATACACAGATGTTACACAGCTTGTGTTCTCATTGTCCATGTCTCACATTCATACACAGATGTTTCACAGCTTGTGTTCTTATTGTTATAGTCTCACATTCATACACAGATGTTCCAGTCAGGCATACCTGCCTATATAATTTATTGTCATTGTAGGGCTTCTCTAGATCTTGTTATAGCTTACCAGTTGTTATAGCTTACCAGTTGTTATAACTTGTCAGTTGTTATAACTTGCCAGTTGTTATAATTTGCCGGTTATTATAACTTACCACTTGTTGTAACTTGCCGGTTGTTGTAACTTGCCGGTTGTTGTAACTTGCCGGTTGTTATAACTTGCCGGTTGTTATAACTTACCGGTTGTTATAACTTACCATTTGTGACAACTTACCATTTGTTATAACTTGCCAGTTGTTATAACTTACTTTGTTTAGTGATAATCTGTGAGCTGTATTCTTTTTACAGTTATACCCCTACTAATGTCTATAAATATCTTCAGTTACGTCTTTCTGCCAGGATTTTCGCAGCTGTACAAGAACAAACAGTTTGTAGATGTCACCCTGCGGGTGGAAGAGACCGACTTTCCCTGTCACAAAAATGTGCTTGCGGCCTCTAGTCCCTACTTCCTGGTGATGTTCTCCACAAGCCTGGTGGAGAGCCAGCTGGACTGTATCACCCTACAGGACATGGAGGCCCGCACCCTTGAGCTTGTGCTGGATTATATCTACACGGGCCAGGTGGGTTGTGGGTTGTTGTGTGAGGTAGTGGGTGTTTGGTTGGCTGCATGAGTGGTGGGTTGTTGTGAGATAGTGGGTGTTTGGTTGGCTGCATGAGTGGTGGGTTGTTGTGAGGTAGTGGGTGTTTGGGTGACTGCATGAGTAGTGGGTTGTTGTGTGAGGTAGTGGATGTTTGGTGGGCTGCATGAGTGGTGTGTTGTTGTGCGAGGTAGTGGGTGTTTGAGTGACTTTGGAGTGGTCGGTTGTTGTGTAAGGTAGTGGGTGTTTGAGTTACTTTGGAGTGGTCGGTTGTTGTGTGAGGTAGTGGGTGTTTGAGTGACTTTGGAGTGGTCGGTTGTTGTGCGAGGTAGTGGGTGTTTGAGTGACTTTGGAGTGGTCGGTTGTTGTGTGAGGTAGTGGGTGTTTGAGTGACTTTGGAGTGGTCGGTTGTTGTGTGAGGTAGTGGGTGTTTGAGTGACTTTGGAGTGGTCGGTTGTTGTGCAAGGTAGTGGGTGTTTGAGTGACTTTGGAGTGGTCGGTTGTTGTGTGAGGTAGTGGGTGTTTGAGTGACTTTGGAGTGGTCGGTTGTTGTGCGAGGTAGTGGGTGTTTGAGTGACTTTGGAGTGGTCGGTTGTTGTGTGAGGTAGTGGGTGTTTGAGTGACTTTGGAGTGGTCGGTTGTTGTGTGAGGTCGTGGGTGTTTGAGTGACTTGTGACTTTGGAGTGGTCGGTTGTTGTGCAAGGTAGTGGGTGTTTGAGAGACTTTGGAGTGGTCGGTTGTTGTGCGAGGTAGTGGGTGTTTGGTGGGCTGCATGAGTGATGGGTTGTTGTGTTAGGTAGTGGATGTTTGGTGGGCTGCATGAGTGGTGGGTTGTGTGAGGTAGTGGGTGTTTGGTGGGCTGCATGAGTGGTGGGTTGTGTGAGGTAGTGGGTGTTTGGTTGGCTGCAAGAGTGGTGGGTTGTTGTGTGAGGTAGTGGGTGTTTGGTGGGCTGCATGAGTGGTGGGTTGTTGTGTGAGGTAGTGGGTGTTTGGTGGGCTGCATGAGTGGTGGGTTGTTGTGTGAGGTAGTGGATGTTTGGTGGGCTGCATGAGTGGTGGGTTGTGTGAGGTAGTGGGTGTTTGGTGGGCTGCATGAGTGGTGGGTTGTGTGAGGTAGTGGGTGTTTGGTGGGCTGCGTGAGTGGTGGGTTGTTGTGTGAGGTAGTGGGTGTTTGGTGGGCTGCATGAGTGGTGGGTTGTGTGAGGTAGTGGGTGTTTGGTGGGCTGCATGAGTGGTGGGTTGTGTGAGGTAGTGGGTGTTTGGTGGGCTGCATGAGTGGTGGGTTGTGTGAGGTAGTGGGTGTTTGGTGGGCTGCATGAGTGGTGGGTTGTGTGAGGTAGTGGGTGTTTGGTGGGCTGCATGAGTGGTGGGTTGTGTGAGGTAGTAGGTATTTGGTGGGCTGCATGAGTGGTGGGTTGTTGTGTGAGGTAGTGGGTATTTGGTGGGCTGCATGAGTGGTGGGTTGTTGTGTGAGGTAGTGGGTATTTGGTGAGCTGCATGAGTGGTGGGTTGTTGTGTGAGGTAGTGGATATTTGGTGGGCTGCATGAGTGGTGGGTTGTTGTGTGAGGTAGTGGATATTTGGTGGGCTGCATGAGTGGTGGGTTGTTGTGTGAGGTAGTGGGTGTTTGGTGGGCTGCATGAGTGGTGGGTTGTTGTGTGAGGTAGTGGGTGTTTGGTGGGCTGCATGAGTGGTGGGTTGTTGTGTGAGGTAGTGGATGTTTGGTGGGCTGCATGAGTGGTGGGTTGTGTGAGGTAGTGGGTGTTTGGTGGGCTGCATGAGTGGTGGGTTGTGTGAGGTAGTGGGTGTTTGGTGGGCTGCATGAGTGGTGGGTTGTGTGAGGTAGTGGGTGTTTGGTGGGCTGCATGAGTGGTGGGTGTTTGGTGGGCTGCATGAGTGGTGGGTTGTGTGAGGTAGTAGGTATTTGGTGGGCTGCATGAGTGGTGGGTTGTTGTGTGAGGTAGTGGGTATTTGGTGGGCTGCATGAGTGGTGGGTTGTTGTGTGAGGTAGTGGGTATTTGGTGGGCTGCATGAGTGGTGGGTTGTTGTGTGAGGTAGTGGGTATTTGGTGGACTGCATGAGTGGTGGGTTGTTGTGTGAGTTAGTGGGTTTCACAGTGAATAATGGTTGAGTGGGTGGGTGAGTAGTGAGAAAAGTTATCAAGGAATGCAGTAGTTTTTCAGTATGCCATGATGAGAGCATAAAACCTGCTGCCTGTTAATGAAAATGAACACATTCAACAATAAGAATAACTAATAAACATTACACCAGTCCTCCTCCTTCCCTCTTCTCCTCAGGTAAACCTGACTGAGGACACAGTCCAGAATCTTCTGTCTGCGGCCAATCTGTTCCAGCTGATCCCCCTGCGTGACGGATGTGCAGAGTTCATGATGAACCACGTGACAGTGGCCAACTGTATCGGGGTGTTCTTCTTCGCCAAGGCTCACCAGTGCAATGTGCTGGCACTGAAGGCAAAGGAAATTATCAACAACAAGGTCAGCTATGTTTGTATCTTCTTCTTCTCCTCATTTCTTCTTCTTCTCTTCCACCTTGTACCTCATCAAAGTGTCGGGGGGAGATGCAATGTTCGTTGATGAGCTCTGTCAAGAACACTATTAAGACTGTTCATTTCTGTAAGGCTGTTCTTAATGCCATCACTCCATATTTTCCTAGGTCTTCCACTCGCTCTGTATCCGTTGTAACGTTTTAGTGTGGCTCGCTGTGGCAGATAGTACCAGGGAATTCTTGTTAGGTGTCCAAACCACTTCATTTGTTGTTCTTTGATGACTTGTAAGACTGGCTTTATTCCTAGCATTCGTCTGATTTTCTGATTTTGTATTCTGTCTTTCCTTGAAACTCCTGCAGCTCTTCTAAGGCATTTCATCTCTGTTGTCAAAATTGTACGTTCATTGGAGTATGTAAGTATCCACCTTTGGCATTGATAGCATAATGTTGGCCAAAAAATAGTTCTGATAAGATTCACTTTAGTACTCTGAGGTATCTGCTTGTGTGTCAACAGGGGAGATAGTTGCCCCATTACTTGATTAGCTTTGGCACATCGGATGTGAAAATTGCTCCCAAATACTTAAATTCCTCTGTTTGTCTCAAGGTTTTGTATTTTTAATTTTATTTCTAAATTGTCTTTGTCTTCCTTTCATCATTGTCTCTGTTTTCGTAGCGTTTATTTTTATATTATATTCTTACCCTTTGTTACTAATTTGATTTCGGTGGTTCTGTAGGCATCTGCTATGAGTACCTTGTCCTCCCCATTCACCTGCTGTAAACTCCGGCGGAAAGTTCTAGTTTTTGTCCACTCCTGGACTGTCATCTTGATCCAGAATTTCTGTTTTACATGCACATCCGTTTTATAAATCTATTTGTGTGCAGACTGTTGGCTGCTTGCCTCTCAGGCACATGCAGTCTGAGGGAAACACTTTTAATAGGGTGTCACCTAGGACATGCTTGTTAGAGAGCCAATAGGTCTTTTCTGTGTTCTCCGAAATGGAAACACGGAACCCACACAGGAAGTTAGTTTGTTAATGTGTGTGCTTTTGTGCCTGAGAGTTTGTGATTGTTTGTGCATATATGCATGTGAGTAGTTTTGTATTTATTGTATAACAGTGTTTGTCTTTGTGTTATTCTTTTATGATTTACGACACTTGCTGAAAATGTTTTGTGCTTTTTTTTATTTTTAAATTGCTTCTTTTGCTAATTGTCCTTAACTGTATTTCATTTTTCAATCTATCACTTGTTTTGTGTATAAACATTGTTGCTGAAGGAAAGAAAAATAAGAACGTTTTAACCATATTTTAAAAAAAAAGGCAGACAGCGATACAAGTGGGAGACTGACCTTAAGAGGTGGACTACCAACAGTCTGAGTGAGTGTACAAGCTGGATAAAAGACATACCTTGTTTGAGATCCTTTATTGTGGAGGTGGCACCTGATTGTTTGACTACCTCTCTGCTTATTACTCAACCACGTTTGTTCCTTCCTGTCGCCCTAATAGGTTTGTGCACTAACATTGTTTCCATGACTTTGTTGGCAGTTCTTGTTGCTGTGTAAGCAGCAGGAGTTTCTGAGTCTGCCGGTGGACAAGCTGGTGGAGATTGTCAGCGATGACGACCTGAACGTCACCATGGAGGAAATTGTTTACGAAGCTTGCATGGCTTGGGTGGAAGAAGACCAGGACAGTCGCAAGCAGAGTTTAGCTGAGGTAGATTCAACTGTCGTTTATCTGGTTCATTTGCACAAATAGATTTCCTTTTTTACTGGCAGGGATCTCCTTGTGGGTCCAGGGCCCCGTTTGGGAAAGAAGTGGAATAGACCCAGTGTCTCTCCTCTAACAAGCATGTTGTAAAAGGCAGGTAATAGGTGTATGCTGAACTGTTAGGTTGAAAGTACAGATATCACAGTTTAGCTGTAAACCACAGCATGCTAAGTACTCTTGGGCAGCTGAAGAATGCTGAAAATGTTATCACGATCGACATCACTTACATTAGGCATTGTCCATGCCTGCTCAGTCCTCCAATGCATCAGCCATCCTTGTGTAGTTCTACTGATTGTTTCCATACCAAGGTGGTTATAAATTCTCCTATCTTGATTTAAAAAATGGCATAAAAGTGCTTTGCCAGACTTTATTCCCAGGTCACATAGTCACGTTAGTGTTGGAGACCCTTAATTATTCACCAGCCTAGTCCAGACAGCATGTGTTGTCACTATGTTATTTCTGTGTTATCTTTGTGTGTGGACTATCTCACAGTCCTCAAGAAAGAGAATAGGGGCTTTTGAGTTGAAATACTATAGAAAGTTTCTCAGAATATCTTTGACAAAGAAGAGGAGAAATACTGACATCTTGAAAGATCTGAAAATCAAGGAAGATTGGCTAATAAACAGCATCCTGTCTCGGAAGCTGAAATATTTTGGTTATATCAAACGCTACGATGGATTGGAAAAAAATGATAGCAGACGGCACGATGCCAAGAAGGAGGGGCAGGGGCCAACCAACACGAAGATGGGCACAGGATATAAGTGACTCCTTGAGTATGAAAGTACATGAAGCAGGAGAGCTGGCGAGAGACCGGGTTTCTTTCAGGCAGACTGTGATGAGAGCGACGTTCTGCAAAAGATCTGCTACATGAAGATGATGACCTTTGTGTGTTATCTTGATATGTTATCCCTTGAGCATCCAAGTCCATGCAGAGTATGTTATCCCTTGACCATCCAAGTCCATACAGCGTATGTTATCCCTTGAGCATCCAAGTCCATGCAGAGTATGTTATCCCTTGACCATTCAAGTCCATACAGAGTATGTTATTCCTTGAGCATTCAAGCCCATACAGTGTATGTTATCCCTTGACCATCCAAGTCCATACAGAGTATGTTATCCCTTGACCATCCAAGTCCATACAGAGTATGTTATCCCTTGACCATCCAAGTCCATACAGAGTATGTTATCCCTTGACCATCCAAGTCCATGCAGAGTATGTTATCCCTTGACCATCCAAGTCCATACAGCATATGTTATCCCTTGACCATTCAAGTCCATACAGAGTATGTTATCCCTTGACCATTCAAGTCCATACAGAGTATGTTATTCCTTGAGCATTCAAGCCCATACAGTGTATGTTATCCCTTGACCATCCAAGTCCATACAGAGTATGTTATCCCTTGAGCATTCAAGTCCATACAGAGTATGTTATCCCTTGATCATCCAAGACCATACAGTGTATTTTATCCTATCACCAGGTGATGAGATGTGTCAGGTTTGCCAACATTAGCTCCTATTACTTCTGTGATAAAATCAAGACCAACCTGCTGCTGCGGGACAACCCAGAGATTGTGGCCTTGCTCAACACCATTACGTGCTACCATATGCTCAAGGTGGGAGGCTGTCACTTATCATCATCATCCTGTGGCACTGTTTATAAGTCGTATGTGGCCTACATTCTGTTTCTCCATTCCTTTCAATATTGTGGATGGATCCCTCACCTTTGACCTCTGTTTATCATAATTCCTTTGAGAGTTTTTCTTGAACATCTTGTCTTGTTAATTTTTTTGTTTGTTTCCTATTCCATTCCCTGTTTGGTATTTGATTGCTTGCTTTTTCACCGGTTGTGCCCAGTATATCACCACCCCTCCCCCTTCTCTCTCTCTCTCTATTTTAAGAGTGTATGTGTACGTGTATGTTCGGAGTGTGTATGATGTGATGTGAGTATGCATTATTGATAACATGGTCTAAAAGATGAGTGCTTGGAAGGGCCAAATATAAGACAGACCTGTGTGCCCAATTTATGACCCTTTGAAAAAAAAGTTTGTTCGTTCTCTCTCTCTCTCTCTCTCTCTCTCCCTCCCTCATTACTGCTGTTACCAGTGGTTGTCGAGACCTTTCTCTGATTGTCGCTGATATTGCTGCTAGAAACTTTATATAATCTTGCTGTTGTTGGTTTGTCTCTTGTTCTCATGACTGTATTAGCTAAATGTATTTACTTGTGATGATTTCCTGTAATTGCCATTTCTTTGTGAAACTGTTTAAATCACTGCCATGGCTTGACTGATTCGCATAGCTTGAGACAGTTTGACTGTCACAGCTTGAGACTGTTTGAATGATTGTCATAGCTTGAGACAGTTTGAATGATTGTCATAGCTTGAGACAGTTTGACCTACTGTCACAGCTTGAGACTGTTTGACTGACTGTCATAGCTTGAAACATTTTGAATGATTGTCAAAGCTTGAGACTGTTTTGAATGATTGTCATAGCTTGAGACAGTTTGAATGATTGTCATAGCTTGAGACAGTTTGAATGATTGTCATAGCTGGAGACAGTTTGAATGATTGTCATAGCTTGAGACAGTTTGAATGATGTCATAGCTTGAGACAGTTTGAATGATGTCATAGCTTGAGACAGTTTGAATGATTGTCATAGCTTGAGACATTTTGAAATATTGTCTTAGCTTGAGATAGTTTGAATGATTATCATAGCTTGAGACATTTTGAATGATTGTCATAGCTTGAGACAGTTTGAATGATTGTCATAGCTTGAGACAGTTTGAATGATTGTCATAGCTTGAGACATTTTGAATGATTGTCATATTTTGAGATTGTTTGAGTGATTGTCATAGCTTGAGACTGTTTGACTGTCACAGCTTGAGACTGTTTGACTGTCACAGCTTGAGACTGTTTGAATGATTGTCACCGCTTGAGACTGTTTGAATGATTGTCATAGCTTGAGACTGTTTGAATGATTGTCACAGCTTGAGACAGTTTGAATGACTGACACAGCTTGAGACTGTTTCAAACACTAAAATAGCTTCAAAAAAATATGCTTAAGAAAATGCAGGCTAGGTTCATCAGACAGAAATAGATTGTATCATTAAGTACTTCACAAATGGCTGGCCCTACTATCTTTGTGCCAGATCATACGGGTGTTTGAGGAAACAAGCGTGCAGATTATCTTGCAGACACTGCAGTTGCTGTGGCTGTTTTGATACTGGGCAGAAGCAGTTTTATTAATGCCAAAAAGCATGATTCCATATCCCTGTCTAGGCTGATGGACAGGGGGGGGTGCAACTTGGATCTGCAAGAAATGAACATTTCACCAAAGGGAGAAGATGTTTTTTAATCAACACAGAACTGGCATCAGGAGTCATTTTACACTTGTGGGGATTCTGAGAAGGAGATGGGAGCACCTGTGGACCTGTCCGGAGTGCTGTAATGGTAATTCTCACTAATTGCTTAAAGCTGAATCATGGTCTTAGCTTGAGACTGTTTGAATCACTGTAGCATATTGAGGCTGTTTGAATCACTGTAGCAGATTGAGGCTGTTTAAATCACTGTAGCAGATTGAGGCTGTTTAAATCACAACAGATTATAGGCTGCTTGAATCACTGTTACATATTAAGGCTGTTTGAATCACTGTAATATCTTGAGGCTCTCTGAAGATATTAGCATCTTTTTGCATTTCTACTGAAAGAAAGTGTGTATAAGTGTGTTGGTGCATGTTGTATGTATTATATCTGTGTAAGTTCTTTTCCTGTTAGAATCGGCAGCATGAGATGGATGTGAAGCTGATGCCTCGTCGAGGAATGGTGTACGAGAGGGGTGTCATGATAATTGCCAACCCATACACGGAGGATGTGCTCAAGAAGTACAGCAGTATGGAGATGCTGCTGCCCAAGACGGGAGAGGTGATGCACATCTGTAAGCTTCCGCAGAGCTTGTACACACCAGGTAAACAATTGTTTGTTTGCCCAGGAAACAGTTGTTTGTTTACCTTGTGGAAATATTTGTCTCATATTTTTGACAAAAATTGTGCAGTCTCCACATTGGAATGTGGCAACAGTGTTTCTTCTACCAACAAAGGGAATACTATGTGATTTGATTCTGAAACCACTGTCTGAAAGCTTTGGTAACTGTCTTTTTTCTACACTGCCCACAGCAGGAGTCAAACTCTGGTAAACCTTGAGTGTTGCATCATGAAATTCTTCAAACCCTGGTAAACCTTGAGTGTTGCATCATGAAATTCTTCAAACCCTGGTAAACCTTGAGTGTTGCATCATGAAATTCTTCAAACCCTGGTAAACCTTGAGTATTGCATCATGAAATTCTTCAAACCCTGGTAAACCTTGAGTGTTGCATCATAAAATTCTTGAAACCTTGGTTAACCTTGAGTATAACAATTCTTCTTCTTCTGTGTTCCTCCGAAGATGTGATTGAGTTGTGCCCATTTACAGTATTGCTGGGATATTTGCACCTTTTGGCCCACACATCTTGACTTCTGCAGGCATTTATTGAGTTAGCTTTCCCCGGTCATCATGAAATGACTCTTTTCAGTTTCAGGGGGTTTTGTTTCAGAAACCAAAGGGTGGTATTGCCAGACATATAATAGGTGCATCCAGTGTTTATTGAACTTCTAGGTAGGAATCTATGTGTGATGCAGTCCTTAGGGCCGAAAGAGTTAACTAACTTCTAAGCCGTAGAGTCGCACTTGTTATGTTTATTTTTTTCTCCTGGTTATGCCTGTGTGTTGGGAAATGAGCAGGCAGAAAGACTGGCCGGTTCTGCACTGCTTGGTAGTGAACTGATGTATGACAAGCTGGGTGTTGTGAGGGCTCTTTGGGAGCGATTGAACTGTGAGGGGGCACAGATAGATAATATCGGTCTGGGGATCTGGCCGGTGCTCAACAGGCCGGTGCTCAACAGACCGTTGCTCAACAGGCCTGTGCTCAACAGGCCGGTGCTCAACAGGCCATTGCTCAACAGACCGTTGCTCAACAGACCGGTGCTCAACAGGCCGTTGCTCAACAGACCGGTGCTCAACAGGCCGTTGCTCAACAGGCCGTTGCCCCAGAGGCCGGTGCTCAACAGGCCGGTGCTCAACAGGCCGGTGCTCAACAGGCCGGTGCTCAACAGGCCGTTGCTCAACAGGCCGGTGCTCAACAGGCCGGTGCTCAACAGACCGGTGCTCAACAGACCGGTGCTCAACAGGCCGGTGCTCAACAGGCCGGTGCTCAACACTCAGGGAGAAGCAAGACAGATATACAGTCAGACAGTTACTGGTGCCATCAGAACTGGAACTCTTTGCTTTGCTGCTGAAAATGGGGAAAGAGCGCTTATGGGGTTGTCTTGAGTGCTGTGATATCAATTCTTAATTCAACATTCAACAACATGTTTATTTGTTGGCAAAATCAAATTTGAAAACAAAAGCAGATTAGGAATGATAAGAATATTTTTAACTGTAAGAAAAAATATCTAGACAAATAAACTCTTCAGTGGGAAAAAATCTGTTACTTGTTGTCAACATTCTTTTCTCCTCCTCTTCCTCCTTTCTTCTTCTTCTTTTTCTCCTTCTCTTTCTTCTTCTTCTTCTCCTTCTCTTTCTTCTCCTTCTCTTTCTTCTTCTCCTTTCTTCTCCTTGTTTCTTTAAAACTGCCGTTGCCATGTTGTGTTTTGCCTTACAGCTAGGCTACCTCTCCACTAGGACATCTGACTTCAGCAGAGCCGCAGTCTTGTTTATTTGTTGGCAACAGGCACACACACACATATACACACACACACACATAAAATCAATCAAAACCTCTGAATGTGGGGAAACTATCTAGACAGATAAATCAATCAAAACCCCTGAATGTGGGGAAACTATCTAGACAGAGAAATCAATCAAAACCCCTGAATGTGGGTAAATAACAAATCTCTTACTTGTCCACAATATTCTTATTCCCCCCCCCCCCCCTTAAAACTGTAGTTGATATTTAATGGTTTGGTTTACAGCTAGGCTGTGATATCTGCTCCTTTCCACTAAACCTATCTGACTGTAGCAAATCCTTAACTGCCATTTAAGATTTGTCTGTTAGTGTGATTATCTTCTCCCTCCTGCCCCCACCCACCCACAGTGGGCTCAAGAGCCCACACGGAATCCACACACTAGATATTAGTGTTGATGACATTGAATCGCTGACAGACAGCATCATATTTCTCTTTAAAGGTGTTGCGTCTGCCGGAGACAATCTCATCTACCTGGGAGGTGGTGCTGTCCGTAAGATCAACTACCGAGGCTCCATCATGACCGAGGGAGTATCCCACAATTTCTACGTGTTTGACCAGACGGAGGCATCCTGGAAAGTCAAAGCTCGGATGCAGACGCCCAGATCCCAATTCTCACTTGTGATTGTGGACGGGTCAGTGATTGATTTGATCTGGTTTATGTGAAATTGTCTACACCCCATACACCATACATAAGTGCTTTCATTTATTTGGTTTTTGGTTTATGTAGAATTGCATGCATCATCATCATCATGAACCACTTCTGCCGTTAAGCGTCGTGGGGAGGAATAATTTGCGATCCAGTGCACGTTGGCTGCCACTGGCTATTGTCATGCCGTGAAGGCGTAGAGTGTCTTTAATGTTGTCGATCCATATTTTTCGCGGCCGTCTTCTTGCTCTTGTATTTGATCTTCTGAGATGTAGTGCTTGTGATGGTATTTGATCTTGCTGCATTCTAACGAGATGGCCAAACCACTTGATCTGCTGTTTCTCGATGAATCTAGTACAAGGTGTTGTTCCCACAATTTGCCTGATAGTTTCATTATTCACTCGATCTCAGATGGTTAGGTTGGCTGCTTTTCTCAGGCACCTCATCTCGCAGGTGGTAATTTTGTGTATATGGGCTTTAGATAGTGTCCATGTTTGGCACTGGTAGCTTAATGTTGGAATAAATACAACATCCATAATTGCTTTCTTTATTTAGTTTGGTTTGTTTACCTTCATTTATCTGGTTATAATAATCAAATGGCAAAATTAAGTAACATCATTTCATTAATATGCATGTTTAATAATCTTTGATGTTCCTTTGTTGTTCAGGTATGTGTATGCTGTTGGAGGACATGATGGAGCCGATATCCTGGCCTCGGTAGAGCGCTACGATCCTCACATTAACACCTGGACAGTTGTTCATGCCCTACCTAAGCCCCTTCGGTTCATGACCTGTGTCTCGTACAAGGGCAGATTGTACGTTTTCGGCGGAGAAACAAAAACAGATATCAGCAACCAGGCTTGGCAGTGAGTCTCTGCATCATCCTTTATATCGTCATTTGTATCATTCTTTGTGTCATCTTTATATAATCATTTATTATCACCTTGTTGTGGTATTTATAGATCACATATGACTTGGACATTGACCAAAAAAAACACAAACTAATCGCCTGTGAGTTGAGATGTCTGAGAATGGTTATGAATAAAACCAGAAGAGATCGAGTGAGAAATGACGTGATCACAAGAACTGTTGGAACAACACCCATCGTCAAATTTATTGAGCCAAGAATCAAATGGTTTGGCCATCTAATGAGAATAAAACCAATGATGCCAGCAGCAGGAGCGTAAAACCTGAAAATCGCAACACCATGAGGCAGAGGAAGACGAAGAAGAATCTGGATTGAAGGAGTCACTGACACCTTGAGACTGCATAACATCATAGCATATGAAGCGACTAGCACGCCCTGGCTCGGCTGCCGATCATCTGGTGAAGTCTAGCAGCAAAAGCAGATATTGACAAAAGAAGAAGAAGACATATGCTTTCTTTTTCTCTATTCTGTTTTTGCAGTCTGTTCAATATCATGGATGGAGTTCAGCCCACCACCTTTGGCCTCTCTCACCAGTGTCCTTGTCTTGGACGTTATCATCTCCTCAGTCCATTTGTTTGTCATTTCAAAGCCTGTTTGGTGGTTGTCCTTGGTTTTCCTTTCAGGATGTGCCTGTTATATCGCTATCTTTGTTGTCTTATCAGTGAAGAGACCAGTGGTTGTGCAGATAGTTTTAGTAGTTCTTCAGCTTTCACTGGCAAATGTTAACTGAAATAATGTTTGTTAACTGAAACAATGTTAACTGATATAATGTTAACTGAAATAATGTTAACTGAAATAGTGTTAACTTAAATAATGTTAACTGAAATAATGTTAATTGAAATAATGTTAGAATTTACAATATATACAAGTATTTTGGTTATAAAACAATTTGATTTTGAGAATTCCAGAGTTTGTTCAGGCTTTTAAAAGCTGCCGTTGCCTTGTCAGTGTATATCATAGACTCATTGTGTTTCCTCGGCCATTAGAATTGCTACCAACAAAGCTACACCGATCTGTTAGTTTAATTCTTCTTTACTCTAGTGTAATATCACTTTTGTACTCATATATCAATTTTGTACTCATATATCACTTGTGTACTCATTTATCACTTTTGTACTTGTCTATCACTGTTGTACTTGTCTATCACTGTAGTACTCATCTATTACTGTTGTACTCATCTATCACTTTTGTACTTATCTATCACTTTTGTACTTATCTATTTTACTCATCTATCACTTTTGTTCTTATCTATTTTAAAGGACTTCATGTAGGTTGATTATGATTTAGATTGAGAGCTGAACACAACAGACTCTCCAAGCAGATGTATGGGAAAAGCAAGATGGAGGCTCAGAACAGTGCCCATGTAGACAGGCACCCTAGAACACCCACCATGTAGACAGACACCCCAGAACACCCAGCCTGTGGACAGACACCCCAGAACACTCAGCCTGTGGACAGACAACCCAGAACAGCATGTGGACAGACACCCCAGAACACTCAGCCTGTGGACAGACACCCCAGAACAGCATGTGGACAGGCACCCCAGAACACTCAGCCTGTGGACAGGCACCCCAGAACACTCAGCCTGTGGACAGACACCCCAGAACAGCATGTGGACAGACACCCCAGAACAGCATGTGGACAGACACCCCAGAACAGCATGTGGACAGACACCCCAGAACACTCAGCCTGTGGACAGACACCCCAGAACACTCAGCATGTGGACAGGCACCCCAGAACACTCAGCATGTGGACAGGCACCCCAGAACACTCAGCATGTGGACAGGCACCCCAGAACACTCAGCATGTGGACAGGCACCCCAGAACACTCAGCATGTGGACAGGCACCCCAGAACACTCAGCCTGTGGACAGGCACCCCAGAACACTCAGCATGTGGACAGGCACCCCAGAACACTCAGCCTGTGGACAGACACCCCAGAACACTCAGCCTGTGGACAGACACCCCAGAACAGCATGTGGACAGGCACCCCAGAACACTCAGCATGTGGACAGGCACCCCAGAACACTCAGCCTGTGGACAGACACCCCAGAACACTCAGCATGTGGACAGACACCCCCAGAACACTCAGCATGTGGACAGACACCCCAGAACACTCAGCATGTGGACAGACACCCCAGAACACTCAGCATGTGGACAGACACCCCAGAACACTCAGCATGTGCTGCAGATATGCTCTCTACATGCAGTAGAGAGCTCTCAGGTCTGACCAGTTAACCTTTGGGTGGAACTCAAGCTGTGTGGATCAGAGGAGGACGTATGTCGCACCACAGCCTTCACAGAGACATCAGAGGAGGACATGCGTCTCACCACAGCCTTCACAGAGACATCAGAGGAGAACATGCTCACACCACAGCCTTCACAGAGACCTGTGGTATTGTGTGGAAAAACAAGAGTTGGCCCACTGCCTTCCAAAGAAAAAGCAGGTTGTAAGATTCGGCTAACTGGGGGCTTCCTTCAAAGTTGGAATGTATCTGCCTCAGAAGCAAGTAATCAACAGTTAGCATTTACAGTTAACATCAACAGTTAACATCAACAGTTAGCATCAGCAGTTAACATCAACAGTTAGCATCAACAGTTTGCGTTCACATAAGTCAGATCTGTAAAAAGGATGTGAATGCAAAACTCAATTCCTGAAACTGGACAATAGTGCAGAAATTGATGAACAACCAGAACTTTCTGTCAGAGATTACAGCTGATAAACTAGAGGAAGAAGAAGAAGAAGAGACCTGTGGATTTCTCATCTAAATGAAAAGAAGAAGATTGTGGGAGATGGCACCAACACTTTGACATGTTTTGTAATGTGTGTTTTGCTCCACAGATATGATCCACAGTCCGATTGTTGGCTGGAACTTCCTCCAATGAAAACCCCTCGGGTTCTGGCTGGCAGTGTTGTCTTCAAAGACAAGATTTACATTATAGGTGTGTTGATGTGACAAAAGTGTGCCAGTGTTATCTGGATGTTTTGTTGATGTGACGACTGTGTTATCTGGATGTTTTCTTGATGTAATGACAGTGTGCCGATGTTATCTTAGTGTTCTGTTGATATATTTGGAGGTCAATATTGTATGACATTTGTTTGATATGATTGTATGCCAGTGTTAGATATGTTTCATTGATGTAATGACAGTTTGTCAATGTTTTCTTGATGTAATGACAGTTTGCCAATGTTTTCTTAATGTGACCGTGTTATGTTGCATTTATTTGTATGTGAAGGAGCGCAGGTAAATATTGGTATGATTGTGTGTCCATGTTATATTGATGTTTTGTTGTTTTAATGTACCATTTTTAATTAGGAAGTTGCTGGAGTAAATGACTGAAAAGTTGAGTAAATATTGACAACGTTGTGCTGAGGTAACAATGATATGATGCCTCATACCATTCAGAAAGCAGTGTTGAAATCACTGAATGTAAAGTTGCCTCATAAACCACCCAGCAAATACACAGCTGTTTTATTCAGAAAGTAAAGTACGGGACAATATTTTTTCGCTAGTCACACATCTGTTACTATTAGTATTGAAGCTCTGCGCTGGCTGCTGAAGATGAAGATGGAGTGCACATGGGATTGCCCCAGATGATTTGATGTAAATTCTTGACTCAGCTCAGCTCAACTCAGCTTAACTCAAATCGAGTGTATGATAAACAAGTCAGCTAATCAAAGACATATCTCAAATAAGACATTAGATGCTTGACTGGTGTTTCTTGTGACCATCCAGCACTCAGTGAATGTGGTCAACATCATGCCGGCCACCTTTACCTCCCAGGGCAATACCTGGCACCTGTTTAAGGCTGGGTCAACATGAGAGCCAAAGTTCATTGTGGAAATAACGTCTCAGTGCAGGTTCGAGCCTGAGACTTGTGGGCCAGCAGGCGGATATCTGGCCTACCACAACTCGTATTTAAATATTACAGTGCAGGCCTGATAAGGAGAACTCACCAGGGACCCAAGAAATGGTCCTTATCAGAAATTCCTCTTTTCCAAATAAGAATTTAAACATTAAAAAATTGCCAGAGATAAACAAATTGTTCTTTACAACAGAAATTGGCCACATACATGTTCATCTTAAGCAGTCTGCACTGTAGTACAGGGGGAAAAGATATTGTTGGGTAGATTCTGACATCAGTGGCATGGATCCTTTCTTGAACGTACCCCAGTGTTTTGTAGCCCTGTATATGAGTGAGTTCAGTCTTTGATAAGAGATTTTCCATATATGAATGACGTGACTTTGCTGGTTCCTCAGGTGGAAATGCTGCTCTCAGTGACAAGTGGAGGAAGGAGTACCTCCCGGAGCACTGTGTGACGTCCGTGGAGGTGTTTGATCCTGAAGCCTCTGTGTGGTCTGTGGGACCCTCGCTGGCTAATGCCCTTTGTGGAGCTGGTAGGTATATATGTCTTGTGTTTGTGTGACAGCTTTCAGCGGCCATGTATACTGCCACCTCTCTGGATCATTCCAGCACTCGGAAAAGGAGGGGGGTGTCTTGTTCTTCTCCGCATTGACCGGCTGTTAACTCCTGCGCCCGCCTGATGCAAGATCTGGTTGTTCATCCTTTTCTTGACTTTTATTTTCTTCCAGAACTAGAGCTTTTGCATGTAATGTATATCCATTTCACAGATTTGGCTTATTTGTTAAGTGACTGTTGGTTCCTTGCCCCTTAGGCAGCATACTGACTTCAGAGGAAACACTCTCAAAGAGGGGGGGGGGGGGGGCAGTGGGTTTGTCCCGGAATCCACATGGGAAATTTTGAGGGACTGTATTGCAGTGTTTAAGTGGGTTTTTTTTTACCTGGTTTTTTTTATGGAGGGCTACCAGAGTGGTTGGGGAAATGCCAATATGGTCTCATAACTCATTTAAGGGAAAATTCTAACTGCACCTCGTGGAGGATAGGCAACACACCACGGTGTGGCTAACACAGCTCTGAGGACCGAGTATCCACCGGTGTGGCTAACACAGTTCTGGGGACTGAGTATCCACCGGTGTGGCTAACACAGTTCTGGGGACCGAGTATCCACCGGTGTGGCTAACACAGTTCTGGGGACCGAGTATCCACCGGTGTGGCTAACACAGCTCTGAGGACTGAGTATCCACCGGTGTGGCTAACACAGTTCTGGGGACCGAGTATCCACCGGTGTGGCTAACACAGCTCTGAAGACTGAGTATCCACCGGTGTGGCTAACACAGCTCTGAGGACCGAGTATCCACCGGTGTGGCTAACACAGTTCTGGGGACCGAGTATCCACCGGTGTGGCTAACACAGCTCTGAGGACCGAGTATCCACTGGTGTGGCTAACACAGCTCTGAGGACCGAGTATCCACCGGTGTGGCTAACACAGTTCTGGGGACCGAGTATCCACCGGTGTGGCTAACACAGCTCTGGGGACCGAGTATCCACCGGTGTGGCTAACACAGTTCTGGGGACCGAGTATCCACCGGTGTGGCTAACACAGCTCTGAGGACCGAGTATCCACCGGTGTGGCTAACACAGTTCTGGGGACCGAGTATCCACCATTGTGGCTAACACAGCTCTGAGGACCGAGTATCCACCGGTGTGGCTAACACAGTTCTGGGGACAGAGTATCCACCGGTGTGGCTAACACAGTTCTGGGGACCGAGTATCCACCGGTGTGGCTAACACAGCTCTGGGGAACCGAGTATCCACTGGTGTGGCTAACACAGCTCTGAGGACCGAGTATCCACCGGTGTGGCTAACACAGTTCTGGGGACCGAGTATCCACCGGTGTGGCTAACACAGCTCTGGGGACCAAGTATCCACCGGAATAAGTGGACAACTCTGCAGCTGATCAGAGCAGGACACTCACTTGTCCTGACTGTCGGAAATTACTGTCAAAGGTAGAGGTAAAAGAACCCCATGTGGATGTGGAAGGCAATGGGAAACCACTACTTATCTTCCCAGGTTTTCAGGCACAATTACAGATTTAATTCATTAAACGACGTCAGTGGATGTCTTCAGACAGCCTTGTCTGGTAAGGACTGTCAGAATTGATCAAGAACACCAAAGACCAAGATCTGTGGAGATGCATGAACGCCAGCTGTCAAGGCACTTGATAATGATGACCTCAGGGTGTCCCTAATGTCTGCACACATAGGACATAAAGAGTGACTGTTAAGATTTGCGGCAGTGGGAATTTATTACATCGACTTCACATTAATTTGTAAAGCGCATCAACGTTTACGTTGCAAATAATGGAGATGAAATTGATATGTATGAAGATGCTATCATAGCTCTAATGGACTTGTCTGATGTGCAGTGAGAATAATCTATTAACCAACTAACTTTTGATGCATTATTCTTCCCCGTTTGGGTTCCAGGGCCCTATTAAAGGGAAAACAAGAATAGACCACACTGCCTACCCAAAAGATGTCATAAGAGTCGACTAATTGGGAGCTTCCTTCAAAGTCGAAGTGCATCTGCCTGAGAAGCAAAGAACTAGCAGTCTGCATAAAAATGAGTCAGATCTGTAAAACGGATACACATGCAACACTCAGGTTCTGGAACAGGACTGCATTTCAGAAGTGGACAAACAACTGGAACTTTCCGCCAGATTTTACAGCTGGTGAACGTGAAGAAGAAGATACATTATTTAATATTTCAGTTGAATAAAGTGTCGTTAATAAATTATATTTCTTGAAAGTATTCTCACCATTGTCTGTTTTACCTCCAGGAGTGGTAAAGTATGGAGAAACAATTCTGGTTGTTGGTGGCGAGGATGACAAGAGCTGGATGGCTGGCATCTGCTGGCTCAAGCAAGAAGGAGACAGGGAGACGTGGGTCTGGTCGGAAGGTCAAGAGTTGCCGACAGTCATGTCCACTTTTGGCTGTGTGGTGGCCAACATTCCTCATGAAGTCTTGAAACATCAGCAGTAAGGCTTGCATCACTCAACACCATGTGATAAATTAAATTGTACAATGATCAACACTTAAGTAGATTTACCAAATAGTAGAAATTAAAGAGCATACTAAAGAGCAAACTAGGAAATGGGCTTTCAAGTTGACCTAGTCTTTGATGGGGACCATGGAAATGACCAGGAAAGTAAAGGTGCTGACATGATGTTTGAATACTGATTGGTCTATCAAACTGTGACTGGCACTATATGTCCTATGCACTGAAGCATGAACAAATGTCCCTTACTTGACTTACACTAGACAACAGAAAGTTTGTAGCGTGTCGTCTTGTCAGTTTACTTACTTCCAACAATGCTCAATGTGTAGTTTATTTTACTTTGTATGTGCCAACCTAAGTCTCTTCTGTGATTGAAAGCAAAAATATCTGTCAGACCAAGTGCTTCTCATTGCTCTACCTCTTCTGTACCTTACATATCATCTTCTGCAGCATTATATGTGGGATGTTATGTCTGCGTGAATTACTGAAGTATTGTGAAATATGTGTGGCAAATCTCTTTGTATATCTGTAAATCTATATGTATATTTGTAAATGTGTATATTTGTAAGTTTATTTGTTTGAATAAAATAATCAATTCAAAAGAGAATAAACATGAAATAGAAAAATAATTGTTTAATGATTGGTTGTTCTTTCATTTGCTGCTGTTCTAATATGGTCTAGATGATATTGGTGGGGAAGATCTTCATTGCCAGTCAATCCATAAAACCTGCCATTTCTGCCTGAACTTACAATTGTTATAGTGTCGGCCTAACCGTCTTCCCTGCTTTTTATAAAATACATTGACAATATATGCAGAAAGTGAAGAAAAGAATCTCTCAGAATGTTTATTTACAGAAGACCAAGCTGAAACAGAAGAGTTTTCAGAACCATATAGACCAAGTTTATAGACCAAGTCAATACAAAGTGTGAGAAATATAATTTGAAGATAAGCATTGATGGGACAGAGGTAATGGTAATAGGCAGACAAGAGGAAACCATATCAATTAAAATAAATAACACAGAAATAAAACAGAGTGAATTTAAATATCAAGGGTCATTTTTTCACTTCAGATGAAAGAATGTGTAGAGAAATCAAAATGTGATGTGCGAAAGGAAATCCATTATTGGTCAATTAAAACTGCTTCCAACGCATAGAAAAATGATACCTCTGTCAACCAAAGAACAGCTTTTTGGCCTACATTGTGCTACCAGTGCCAAACATGGACCCTTACTACAACTAATGAGTGGAAGATCTTAACAGAGATGAGATGTCTCAGGGATGAAGCGACATCGTCAGGAGCAACCTAACAGAAATGAACACCAACTTGTACAATGCATTGGGAGAGCTGCACAAATGATCCTTGCAAACCTTGCTGAGGTCAATGGTAGAAGAGAAGGCCTAACCAGGGGCAGCATCGGGGGGGGGGGGGGGGGGTTGGTATCCTTTAAACTCCGGTGTTTAGGGTGGCATGGCTGATGCTAAAGGTGCTGGACTCGATTCCATCCATGAGACTGAAATGATTGCAAGGGGAGAGTGTAAATAAGGAACAGACTGTGAGCCCTATGTGACATAGAATGGCACAACTGGACAATGAACTAAAAAAGCCCGTATATCTTCAGATAAAATACCAGCTGATGGAGTAAAGCGACAACCTGTAGCCCGTTTCTGCATCAACATCCTAAGCTATTAACGAGAAAGATGGGAAGAGGAATGACTTACGATAGAGCTATTTAACAGTGGGCTCTATACTTGTTTTCCCCCACAATGGAACCTCGGAACCCACACGGGGTGCTTACATTTTCCTCATGGACCAACATTTTTAAATAGGTGATCGCCAGAGACCCCAGCCACAGTATAGCAAGATAATTAATACAACAGAACTTGCAATGATCCGCGAGTCACTTGCTAGGCCTCCGAGGGCCGGATTTGACCCGCGGGCCGATAGTTGAACAGCCCGGTCGTAAGGTCTGAAGTCTGATAAAACACGCTGGCTTCTGGGTCAAAGTTCACGGGGTCACTACCGGTTCATCTGACGGCTGATGGACGCCTGACTGCCACCGTCTCGTCGGATTGTTGTTTGTTTGGTTTCACTACAAGAAGGTGAACTCTTTGTTGTATATTTGTTGTGTCTGGCGACTGACGCAAACACAGGAGAATATTTGCGGTACCTATGTATCGTACTCTTGTGCTGGCAAACAAATTTCAAGGATTACGTGCTCTCTGTGTTTGGGAGCGTCGGCCAGTGTTGCAGCAGAACTGCAGACAAGTCTCAGTCAGTAACCCCGGGTAAGGTTGGGGATTTGTGTCTGTGTCAGTCAGTCAGTAACCCCGGGTAAGGTTGGGGATTTGTGTCTGTGTCAGTCAGTCAGTAACCCCGGGTAAGGTTGGGGATTTGTGTCTGTGTCAGTCAGTCAGTAACCCCGGGTAAGGTTGGGGATTTGTGTCTATGTCAGTCAGTCAGTAACCCTGGGTAAGGTTGGGGATTTGTTTCTATGTCAGTCAGTCAGTAACCCCGGATAAATGTTGGGGATTTGTGTTTGTCTGTGTGTCAGTCAGTAACCCCGGGTAAGGTTGTGGATTTGTGGCTGTCTCTGCGTCAGTCAGTCAGTAACCCCGGGTAAGGTTGGGGATTTGTGGCTGTTTGTGTGTCAGTCAGTCAGTAACCCCGGGTAAGGTTGGGGATTTGTGGCTGTCTGTGTGTCAGTCAGTCAGTAACCCCGGGTAAGGTTGGGGATTTTAGTCTGTCTGTGTCAGTCAGTCATTTTTTGTCTGTGTCAGTCAGTAACGCCGGGTAAGGTTGGGGATTTGTGTCAGTCAGTCAGTAGCCCCGGGTAAGGTTGGGGATTTGTGTCAGTCAGTCAGTAGCCCCGAGTAAGGTTGGGGATTTGTGTCAGTCAGTCAGTAGCCCCGGGTAAGGTTGGGGATTTGTGTCAGTCAGTCAGTAACCCTGGGTAAGGTTGGGGATTTGTGTCTGTGTCAGTCAGTCAGTAGCCCCGAGTAAGGTTGGGGATTTGTGTCTGTGTCAGTCAGTAGCCCCGAGTAAGGTTGGGGATTTGTGTCTGTGTCAGTCAGTAGCCCCGAGTAAGGTTGGGGATTTGTGTCAGTCAGTCAGTAGCCCCGAGTAAGGTTGGGGATTTGTGTCTGTGTCAGTCAGTAGCCCCGAGTAAGGTTGGGGATTTGTGTCAGTCAGTCAGTAGCCCCAGGTAAGGTTGGGGATTTGTGTCAGTCAGTCAGTAGCCCCGGGTAAGGTTGGGGATTTGTGTCAGTCAGTCAGTAGCCCTGGGTAAGGTTGGGGATTTGTGTTTGTCTCTGTGTCAGACAGTAATCACACTGAAGATATATTAAGAATAAGTGTTTAGGTGGTTGGCTGTGAATCATAGGAAGGCCATTTTAACTTTGAAGTCAGTGCTGGGTGCTATGGTAATCATGTTGTCTAAGCCATGAAAAGAGGTTTCATCTCTTATAAGTTTACTGTCCAGACTTGTCTGCCAGCTTGTGCACCACCTGCAAGCAGACTGTCAGAGCTCTCCTGCCAGTCTCCAAGCTCAGAAATCAGCCAAGTCAGTATTGGAACTTCACATTAGCAGAGTGATTTATTAGGATGTCATTAGGGCCTGATTCAATATAGCTCACCTTTTTGCCTTGAGTATTTTGGTTGCTGCAAGTGTTGTGGTTAGTGTTATTATTGTTTGCTTTCCTTTTGGGCGGTGCAACACACGGGTGACAAACAACACTAATTCACACGTCCTTTGGCATGTCTCCACCTTGAATTGGTGCCGGGGCTTGCATGTTTCAGTGACCCAGAGTGCATCTGCTGGTATGTCCTTCCAGGCTGGGCAGATAAAAAGACAGAAGCCAGACACAGAGGGACAAAACACTGCTGCCTTACTGGGAGACTAGCGGCAGTCAAATACAACAAATTTCAGAAAATGTAATTAAAACAAGATGTCTTGAGTCACACACAGGCTTGATGAAACTCCCTTACAACTCTTAACTCTCTTCAGATGCAACAACACTAATGCATGCACTGTTATCTTTGGATCAGATTAACATAGTGACATTTATTGACCCTTGGCTTGGCCCCACTATCTCTGCACTATCTCGTGTGTGTTTTAGCAGCTGACTTGACTGTATTTGCCAATAATCTCTGTCAGCTTTGTCTAGTCTGCTGTGTTCATTACTTCTGTATTTAAATAATGAAAGGTAAAGTAAACGACTCTTCACACACCGGGCACATTGGACCCAGCTTTTAACCCACCTATCGCCCTGATCCTAATGACAGCATTAACCATCTAACAAGAAGGGACCAGGCCACCATCTTCAGACTTAGAACGCAACATACTCCACTCAATGGACACCTAAACAGAATACAGCCACAACACTCCCCAGAGTGCCAGCTATGTAACTACCCCTACGAAACTGTTGAACACCATCTCTTTGAGTGCCCAAAACTCAGTGAGACAAGAAGAACGCTACTCCCTCCGAGACCAGACAAGTGGAACACCTTGTACGGAGGAAAAGAACAGCTTGTGAAAACATGCAAATTCCACTACATGGCATTGGGCCAAAGGGCGAAAGCTCATGCGCCGCTGGATCGATAACAACAACAACAACAACAACCCACCTATCAGCACTCGATGGATGATATGGCCTTTACCTCCCTTATATTTCCTGGTACCCAGCTTAGACCAGATCATCCTGAGAGCAGGGATCTCTGCATCACAACAGGAAGGTTATCTGAAAAGTACTGGCAGCAGTTCTGATTTTTTTTTTTTTTTAATTGAACATGGCTGCTAGCTCTTTTAGGACGGCCATTTTTTCTGGGGTTTGGACAGCTTTAATTTTAAGCGGAATTTTTTTAGTGCAGCACGACAAAGCTAAAACCTTCCAGAAGAAAAATTATGGGCTGTATCGGGACTTATAATATATCAAATTAAAGATAAATGAGTGCAAAATAAATCTAAACTACTTAAATGTCAGTATAACATCAAAATATTATTAAAATCACACAACATTCAAGGTTGTTAGACAAATATGAAAACTTTAAACATAAAAAATTGTGTACTAACCTTATTTTTTACTGGTTTAACAACACTGCTATCCAATTCTAAGAATACACACGCCTTCTCTGTTCAATTATGTATTAGCTAGTCTTTATTTGAAACAATTATTTTAAATACTTTGGATATTATAATCATTTTTGAATGACATGTCAATTTTCACACCAACCGAAAATCAGAAAAACAGCTGATCAAAACATTGATCTAATTGAAATATTTTGTAAAATTTTCATTTCCTAAACTAAATTATCGCTAGTAGATTTGTCCTTTAGATATCAATCATAATATCAAGACTTTTGTCACCATCTGGCAGGGATTCATCAACGATAGTGCAGTATAAACAGTTCTAGACCTTTTCCCTTATCATTTAGTATAGAAAAATCACATAGAAATTGTATTCCATCTAAATAATTTTTTTTAAATCACAAAATAATGCACCGACCACAATGAACATCACAAATAAAAGTACATCGTGTTGTTAATCCTAATTGTTAAAAAACTTGTTCATAAAAGTTTGTTTACCCTACAAATGGAACAAAATGAGAGTGTCTCTATCATGAGCCAGTAAACTGGCTTTACGTCTTTAAGAGATAGACTTAATCGCCAGTATACTGGCTAAATGTCCGTAAAGAGCTAGGTAAACCGTGCCTAATAAAGGTGCCAGGTAAAGTCCTGGGATGTAAAGTTGGATCACCCACAGAAAATTCATTGGTGTTATATTACAAAAAATATGAGTCTAGCAGGAACTGCCCGATGCACCCACTGGTGTCAAACAGGATCCTTGACTTGACTTTACTGGCATCTACATAACAGGAGAATTATCTGCACAGAAATGGCAACAGATAGATTATATGGATCATAACAGGAGAATTATCTGCACAGAAATGGCAACAAAAAGATTATATGGATCATAACAGGAATATTGTCTGACATTGCGACAGATAGATTGTATTGATCATAACAGGAAGATTGTCTGACAATGCAACAGATAGATTGTATGGATCATAACATGAAGTCTTATGTGTATATGGTCAGACTGACATTCAGTGACAATATGTTGTGGTCACTTCCACATCATCAGTAATGTCATTGTGTGTTTGTGTTTGTGCATACATGTGTGTTTGTGTGTGTATGCAAGTGTGTGCGTGTGTGTTTTTTCTTTTTTAGTGGTGATTTGTTTATTTGACCTGATCCTTGTCACCTGACAGAAAACTGACCTCGGAGATGTCCAAGCTAACTCTTGTGTCCAGCAATAAATGTTTTGGTGGAGATCAGAGGGTTTACAGTCATGAGAGGTGAGTACTGGCCGGCACCTGATGATGATGTATTCTCTGACTGATAGTGATGCTGTAATTGTTTGGTTTTGTCTCCCTGGTTTTGATCTCTATTACATTTGTATGTCTGCAACAAATTGAAGAATCAAGGACATCTGAGAGAAAGCCTGAAGGAAACATTGGTAAGGAAGGCCAAAGCTGCTGGACATCCTTGATATCCCAAGGATTGAACAGGATACGATGGAAAGGAGAATTAGACTGTCACCTATGTGACAATAAATGGTACAACAGGATGATGATAATGCCTACAGTGTGGCTGTGGGCCGTACAATATCATCTGTATCTAGACTATGTGTCATGCAACCAATTGGGAGGCTGCCTCTCAAGACAGAAATATATGGCGTGCAGCTCTACACAAGCGCGCGGCTACATGTGAAGCAAACAGAACAGCAAGACTTATTAAGAAAAGGATGGACAGAAAGGCGACTGCAGGAGATCATCCCTCCTTGGCACAATGCTCATTCCCTGTCCTCACTGTCCAAGAACTTTTTGGGCCCGCATCAGCCTCATCAGTCATCTTCCTACTCATACTTGATGAAAAAGAGTGATCATCTTGATGGACAACACACATTGTGTCATACAATATGAGATAATTATGTGTCTACAGTTTGACCAGGGGCCATACAGTATCATCTGTATCTAGACTATACGCAATACAATGTCAGATAATTGTGTATCCACAGTTTGACCAGGTGCCATACAATGTTATCTGTCTCTAGACTGTGTGCAGTACAGTATCAGAGAATTATGTGTGTTATCACAACATCTGTCTCTGACTGTGTGCCAGTATCAGAGAATTATGTATCCCCAGTTCAACCCTCGGCTGCACATGTTATCTGTCTCTAGACTGTGTGCAGTACAGTATCAGATAATTATGTATCCCCAGTTCAACCCTCGGCCCATGTTCAATCTGTCTCTAGACTGTGGCAGTACAGTATCAGATAATTATGTATCCCCATCTGTCTTTAGACTGTGTGCAGTACAGTATCAGATAATTATGTATCCCCAGTTCAACCCTCGGCTGTACAATGTTATCTGTCTCTAGACTGTGTGCAGTACAGTATCAGATAATTATGTATCCCCAGTTCAACCGTGGGCTGTACAATGTTATCTGTCTCTAGACTGTGTGCAGTACAGTATCAGTCGGCTGTACAATAGACTGTGTGCAGTACAGTATCAGTATGTAATTATCCCCAGTTCAACCCTCAATGTTATCTGGCTGTACAATGTTATCTGTCTCTAGACTGTGTGCAGTACAGTATCAGATAATTATGTGTCCCCAGTTCAACCTGTGGGCTGTACAATGTTAGCTGTCTCTAGACTGTGTGCAGTACAGTATCAGATAATTATGTGTCCCCAGTTCAACCGTGGGCTGTACAATGTTAGCTGTCTCTAGACTGTGTGCAGTACAGTATCAGATAATTATGTATCCCCAGTTCAACCCTCGGCTGTACAATGTTATCTGTCTCTAGACTGTGTGCAGTACAGTATCAGATAATTATGTGTCCCCAGTTCAACCGTGGGCTGTACAATGTTATCTGTCTCTAGACTGTGTGCAGTACAGTATCAGATAATTATGTGTCCCCATTTCAACCGTGGGCTGTACAATGTTAGCTGTCTCTAGACTGTGTGCAGTACAGTATCAGATAATTATGTGTCCCCAGTTCAACCCTCGGCTGTACAATGTTATCTGTCTCTAGACTGTGTGCAGTACAGTATCAGATAATTATGTGTCCCCAGTTCAACCGTGGGCTGTACAATGAAGTTTGGAATCTACTTGCCAGCTGATGCTGTGGATGGAACCAAACTGCCAGTTGTGTATTGGCTCTCAGGTAATTATTAACCAACCAGAATCATTGTGTGCATGTGTTCTACCCCTCTTCTTGACCTTTTGTCTTTCTTTTTATCTGTATCCATAAATGTCTGTGCACACAACTGGGTTTACATCCTGCATCAAGACCAACCAAGAAGAGAGAAGACATTTTTTCGATAGGCTGTCATTTGCTTGACTCTGGACACAGTTGGTGAGGATTGTGCCTCCAGGATTATTTACCACACATTGAATAGATGTTTTCTAAAAGTGGCTAAGGCCGTTTTAGTAAAATGGAATTCTCCTGTGTTGAGTAAACAAAAAGATTGTGTGATAAATTTGAGGTTTTCATGGTAATCATGTGCCTTGAATTTTCAGTACAGGAACGTGACAATGTGGTTTATGCATTTCAGTGAAAAGTTTTTATTATTGTGCTTCATTATATGTTTATTTAATTCTGTAGTAATGCACTGACAAGATACAGTGAAATATGCCAGGAAAGAAATTGTGCAGTATATTGTTTGTGTCCGCATGATTTACAAGTATCCGCTTCTCTCCATTTCTGTTATCTTTCATGATAACTATTTGTATTTCTGTGTTTATTCCCATCCTTTTCTATGTCAGACATTATGTCTCTTTCAGTATTTGTTTCTGTCATATTCTCAACAACGAAAACAAAAACATTTAATTTTTATATCAAAACCAGGAATACATACAAGAACCATCGGACAAATATTAAAACTTTAGTTTTTAATTATCAAAGACTCTTTCACTGTCTCACTGCACATTATTGTGTTAGCTAATTTCTGTTGTTTAAAATACGCTTTTAAATACCATACTCGGAGGGAAAGTAGAGTCAAGAGGGCAAGAGGTAGACAACGTTACAGGTGGGAGGACAACATCAAGAGAGTGGAGAGTGTACAATCAAGACAAGAGACATAGCGTGTTAATCAATCAGATTGATTGATTGACGTTTAAAATAGAAATCTAAGTGTATAATTTGATGATATGACTGTTCACCTTGTATTAGCATGTTGCGTGGAGATAAATAGATTGTTCGTGCAAGCAAGTAGATTGCTGTGTTTACCAAGCCCTAGAACCCACATGGGTGACAGTTTTAGAATTATATTTGAAACGGTTGTTAAAATCTTATCATAAGCATTTGTCAAGCCTGTAAATGTGGCTGGTTATAGGTGACCAGATTATGGATCAGGTCTGTGTTCTTGTTCCACCTATGCTGTGTGACCTGACTACCCATGGTAATTACTGTACATTGCGGTGTATCAGTTCAAGCCCGACTAAATCTTTCCAGAACTAAGGGGTTGAACTCTGTGGTTAGTGTCAAATACCAGTCTTTACCATCTAGTTCTTAAAATGTGGGTCAACACTTGTAATAAGTGGTTTTGTATTTCTACTCGTTGTCTAGGCAGTGTTCATGCGTGTGTGGTGGATGATATTCTTACACGCTCCACGTTACACAACTGGCACAAGCCGACACCGATGTGAGCTTACGAGACATGAATTTATTGACGTATTAAGACTTACGACAAACGAATAGTCCAGTCGGTGTCCTAGTGAACAGCTTTTGTACACAAACTCACGCAGCCTTCAACGAACAGTCTTCTGCAGGCATTCAAGCAACGATGGGTCCCATGGATTCAACACTGACGTTTGGACATCTCACACGCTGGCATGGTCGATCTCAGCTTAACACTTCGTCCGCAGGTCTCCTTTCTCCTCAGGCACTCACGTAGACATTCTCACATTCAGTCGCTCGTCCTCTCACTCCAACAGGTCGACACAAACTAAACTTGACCAGAGTTCAAGTCTGACTTATACCACGGGCTCCTTTCACGTGACAACACGTGGTGGTCCTTTACTTTTCCCGTGGCGACCTTGGGTCGCATCACCGTGGTCCGTGTGATAACTAGCGGTTAGTCACCTATCTCCAGATTCTCGTTTAATCCAAGTATCTGGACTATCTCGGTGTTTTCGGTCAGCTTTGGGCCTTCCCCCCTACCATCCTAAACTGGGTCGAAAATATCCCCCATTACAACACTCCTAACAGTCACTGTACACCAATTACCATACCTTATGCAGACTGCACACATATTTACAACTAAAACCTGTGTTTAAAACTATCTTGCTGACACTGCGGTTGCTATGGCTGGCTCAGTACTGGACACAAGTGGTGTTTTTATGCCATGTGTTGCACTTGCCGTACCGAGGATCACGCCAAAGGACATGACTCCGTATCCCTGTCTAGACTGATGGAGATGGGAGTGCAGCCTGGAGCTGCAAGAAATGAACATTGCACTAAGGGGACAAGACGTTTCATTAACCAACACTGAACAGGTGTCGTCAGTCGTTTTACACTTGTGGAGCTTTTGAGGAGGAGATCGGAGCACCTATGGATCAGTCCGGAGTGCTGTGATGATAATCCTTTCTAATCACTAATCACCTATGTTTAAAGAACATATTTGACATATCAGCACAATCACTAATCACCTATGTTTAAAGAACATATTTGACATATCAGCACAATCACTAATCACCTGTTTGTTTAAAGAACATATTTGACATATCAGCACAATCACTAATCACCTATGTTTAAAGAACATATTTGACATATCAGCACAATCACTAATCACCTATGTTTAAAGAACATATTTGACATATCAGCACAATCACTAATCACCTATGTTTAAAGAACATATTTGACATATCAGCACAATCACTAATCACCTATGTTTAAAGAACATATTTGACATATCAGCACAATCACTAATCACCTATGTTTAAAGAACATATTTGACATATCAGCACAATCACTAATCACCTATGTTTAAAGAACATATTTGACATATCAGCACAATCACTAATCACCTATGTTTAAAGAACATATTTGACATATCAGCACAATCACTAATCACCTATGTTTAAAGAACATATTTGACATATCAGCACAATCACTAATCACCTATGTTTAAAGAACATATTTGACATATCAGCACAATCACTAATCACCTATGTTTAAAGAACATATTTGACATATCAGCACAATCACTAATCACCTATGTTTAAAGAACATATTTGACATATCAGCACAATCACTAATCACCTTATGTTTAAAGAACATATTTGACATATCAGCACAATCACTAATCACCTATGTTTAAAGAACATATTTGACATATCAGCACAATCACTAATCACCTATGTTTAAAGAACATATTTGACATATCAGCACAATCACTAATCACCTATGTTTAAAGAACATATTTGACATATCAGCACAATCACTAATCACCCTATGTTTAAAGAACATATTTGACATATCAGCACAATCACTAATCACCTTATGTTTAAAGAACATATTTGACATATCAGCACAATCACTAATCACCTTATGTTTAAAGAACATATTTGACATATCAGCACAATCACTAATCACCTTATGTTTAAAGAACATATTTGACATATCAGCACAATCACTAATCACCTTATGTTTAAAGAACATATTTGACATATCAGCACAATCACTAATCACCTTATGTTTAAAGAACATATTTGACATATCAGCACAATCACTAATCACCTTATGTTTAAAGAACATATTTGACATATCAGCACAATCACTAATCACCTTATGTTTAAAGAACATATTTGACATATCAGCACAATCACTAATCACCTATGTTTAAAGAACATATTTGACATATCAGCACAACATAATCACCTATGTTTAAAGAACATATTTGACATATCAGCACAATCACTAATCATATGTTTAAAGAACATATTTGACATATCAGCACAATCACTAATCACCTTAATCAGCACAATCACTAATCACCTTATGTTTAAAGAACATATGACATATCAGCACAATCACTAATCACCTTATGTTTAAAGAACATATTTGACATATCAGCACAATCACTAATCACCTTATGTTTAAAGAACATATTTGACATATCAGCACAATCACTAATCACCTTATGTTTAAAGAACATATTTGACATATCAGCACAATCATATTTAAAGAACATATTTGACATATCAGCACAATCACTAATCACCTTATGTTTAAAGAACATATTTGACATATCAGCACAATCACTAATCACCTTATGTTTAAAGAACATATTTGACATATCAGCACAATCACTAATCACCTTATGTTTAAAGAACATATTTGACATATCAGCACACTGCTAGCCAACCGTATATTTTAGGGGGAGGGGGGGGGGGGGTCTGACCTATACAGTAAGCATTAGGTCTAAACTCCGATTTGTGAGCTTAAACTCTGGAGGTCATCCTGTATGCTGAATCATAAAACCAGGGACATTTGCAAGAGGTCACTACTGATGACACAACATATTAGTGTGCACTCTTGGTAAGTTGTCTTCTTCTTCTTTCTGTTCACCAGCTGTAAACTCTGGCGGAAAGTTCTGGGTGTTCGGCCACCTCTGGACTTTTGTCTTCTTCCAGAATCTGAGTTTTGTGTGCTCATCCATTTAACACATCTGGCTTATTTGTATGCAGACTCTTGGTTCTTTGCCTCTGAGGCAGATGTACTCTGACTTTAAAGAATGCCCCAGTTAGTTGACTCCTATGACATGCTTGTTGGGGAGGCAGTGGGTCTGTTCTTGTTTTCCTGATAATAGGGCCCCAGAACCCACAGGGGGATCTTGGTGACGTAATAATCATTGAAAACCTATGGGGAATAACTCACAATCCTTAAACAGCTTTAAAAAGTACACAGTTACCTTCCAAACTTTAAAAAATGATTGTTTCCTGACATCCTAGGATTGACTTGCAATGAGCAGAACTTCATCACCAAGGCCGGAGCTCAGCGAGTGGCAGCCAAGTTGAACCTCATCATTGTCAACCCTGATACCAGCCCACGTATGTTAGCTTGATGTGTTTTCTTTTATTTTCTGACAGACTGTACTACTGAAATATGTCCTGGTATTATCTCATATGCTTCTGTTGTTTTCTGACAGACTGTACTACTGAAATATGTCCTGGTATTACCTCATTTCTTTGTATTGTTTTCTGTCAGACTGCACTGCTGAAATATCTCCTGTTACATCATATGCTTCTGTTGTTTTCTGACAGACTACACTGCTGAAACATGTCCTGGTATTACCTCAAATCTTTTTGTTGTTTGTCAGACTTTACTGCTGAAATGGGAGAGCTTGTACAGTTCGGAGGAGCAGATTGATCACCACAGTGTGGTGATATTGATGCAGTTGGGAGTGACAAGAGGTTCTGGCAGATGCTCGAGGCTCAGAGGAAAGGCAAGACGGACGTTTAATCAGAATGCTACTGGCACCATTAGTTACGGAACTCTTCGCTGGCTGCTGAAGATGGGGATGAAGCGCTTATGGGAATGCCCCGAGTGCTGTAATGTCGGTTCTTGAATGAAATCAATCAATCATTTACTGCTGAAATAACACACACAAAATGGTTTCCCATTTTGAGTCATGCTAATGTCTTGCTAAAATCGGTTGGGTTTATCAAGAGCCACTTTCCTTCCAAACATAAGAGCTGCGGTCCTGTCAGGAGGTCCATGAGTGGAGCATCTCAACAGAGCACAGACTCTAAAAGTATCTGTGTGCCACAATCACAGTGTATTGCAGAGACAAAGTATTAAATAAATCCCTGTCTCAAATGAAGATTTAAACATATAACTGCAGGGCCAGCACGTAAATATGTTGGCCACTGGCATCCATGATGCCTGTCTTAATAAACATGATAAGCTGTTGATAAGCTGTTATTGTTGACATCATCTGTATGTAGCAGTTGTTATCTGTTGAAGACAGGCGTGGTCCACTTGGAGGTCTAGAGTGCTGAGTGTCCTTTTGGTTCTTTCTCTAGGGAGTGCTGGTGTGTTCTGAAAGGAACAAGCAGACAGACTGGCTGGTTCTGCACCACTGGGTGGTGAATTGATGCATAACAAGGCAGATGAGGTTAAAGGCCCTTTGGGAGCACAGGAACAGTGTGTAAGAGCGAAGAGGCCACTATGGTCTGGAAATAATGATGCAAGCAAGAGGGACCAAAGAGTATAGTAGCTACACAGTGCTCAGTGGAAAGGCAAGATAAACACTGAATCAAACTTGAACTGGCACCATTAATAGCTGACTGCTAAAGATAAAGCTTCTGTAGGAATGAATGCTGTAATTTTAGTTGTTAACTCTGAACTTTCTGATCTCAATTTCGGCAACAGGCGGTGTCAACATTGAAGGAGAAGATGACAGTTACGACTTTGGGTCTGGCGCTGGGTTTTATGTGGATGCCACCACTGACAAGTGGAAGAAACATTATCGTATGTATTCGTACGTGGCTGGTTGGGTGTCAGTGTTGCCTGGACATTCTATAGCTGGTTGGGTGTCAGTGTTGTCTAGACATTCTATAGCTGGTTGGGTGTCATTGTTGCCTGGACATTCCATAGCTGGTTGGGTGTCATTGTTGCCTGGACATTCTATAGCTGGTTGGGTGTCAGTGTTGACGATTCTATAGCTGGTTGGGTGTCAGTGTTTCTATAGCTGGTTGGGTGTCAGTGTTGCCTGGACATTCCACAGCTGGTTGGGTGTCATTGTTGCCTGGACATTCCATAGCTGGTTGGGTGTCATTGTTGCCTGGACATTCCATAGCTGGTTGGGTGTCATTGTTGCCTGGACATTCCATAGCTGGTTGGGTGTCATTGTTGCCTGGACATTCCACAGCTGGTTGGGTGTCATTGTTGCCTGGACATTCCATAGCTGGTTGGGTGTCATTGTTGCCTGGACATTCCACAGCTGGTTGGGTGTCATTGTTGCCTGGACATTCCACAGCTGGTTGGGTGTCATTGTTGCCTGGACATTCCATAGCTGGTTGGGTGTCAACGTTGCCTGGACATTTCCTGATACTCATCAGTAGATATGTTAAACATTTACTTTGTAGAACTCTTGCTGCTTTTGCCGTTTGTATTGTTATAATGTCACTGGTGTTAACTTTGGTTTGCAGTTGCCAGAGCTGATCAATGAGAACTTCTCAACAATTCCAGACAAGAAAGGCATTTTTGGTCACAGGTGAGTGGACATTTAGTCATGTCATCAGTGATTGAGTTGGCATGTTGGTAAGATTAAATAAACATAGGCATTAGTAGACATTATAATGACTGGACATGAGTATTAGTAGACATTAGAATGAGTTTGTGTGGGCATTAGTGTATTAGTAGACATTAGAATGAGTTTGTGTGGGTTAGTGGCATTAGTGACATTAGAATTAGTATGACATTAGTAGACATTATAATGATGATTAGTGGATGGACATGAGCATTAGTAGACATTATAAGTATTAGTAGACATTTTATTGGTTGGTGTGGGCATTAGTAGACATTTTATTGAGTGGACATTATGATTAGTAGACATTTTATTGAGTAAACTTGAGGATTACTAGACATTAGAATGAGGGACATGAGCATTACTAGACATTATAATTAGTGGGCATGATCATTAGTAGACATTATAATGAGTGGATGTGATCATTAGTAGACATTATATCGAGTGGACATAAGCATTAGTAGACATTTTAATGAGTGGGTTTGGTCATTAGTAGACATTGTAATAAGTGGACATGAGCATTAGTAGACATTAGAGTAAGTAGGCATGAGCATTAGTAGACATGGTAATAAGTGGACATAAGCATTAGTAGACATTGTAATAAGTGGACATGAGCATTAGTAGACATTGTAATAAGTGGACATGAGCATTAGTAGACATTATAATAAGTGGACATGAGCATTAGTAGACATTGTAATAAGTGGACATGAGCATTAGTAGACATTGTAATAAGTGGACATGAGCATTAGTAGACATTGTAATAAGTGGACATGAGCATTAGTAGACATTATAATAAGTGGACATCAGCATTAGTAGACATTATAATAAGTAGGCATGGGCAATAATAGAGGTTAACCAAGCTAAACTGTTATGTTTCTCAAGATTAATGCCTGATTGAGTTGACTGATGTTTATATAGACATTCATAAGTTGGGGGGGGCAAATGGAATAAGTGCCAGGGCAATATAGAGTTAACCAGCATGGGCGGTCATGGAGCTCTGATTTCAGCACTGAAAAACCCTGGCCTGTTCAAATCTGTGAGTGCCTTTGCTCCATAGCTCACCCAATCAGGGCTGCCTGGGGGAGAAAAGCTTTCCAAGGATACCTGGGACCTGATGAGAATATCTGGAGGGTAACCACGCACTGATGATTATGCTTTGTTTCTGGTCCTTTTTCTGTGAATTTGATATTGTCTGTGACTTGTGACTGATTTTGTTTTTCTCAATTGTTATGTTCTGTTAAGGTAATCTCTAACACCTTATCCTGATTTACATTGCATCATTTCACTGTAACAGTATTTTCACATTATAGTCTGTCATCATATAAATATTTTACATTATTTTCTGTCACTGTATGATTGTTTTACATTATGTTCTGTCACTATATAATTGTTTTACATTATGTTCTGTCACAATATCACATAAATATCTTTCTACTGCCTTCTATGAGTATACATTGTCTGTCTGTTTATTATCACAATATCTGTGTTTTACATTATGTTCTATCACAATATCTGTGTTTTACATTATGTACTGTCACAATATCTGTGTTTTACATTATGTTCTATCACAATATCTGTGTTTTACATTATGTTCTATCACAATATCTGTGTTTTACATTATGTACTGTCACAATATCTGTGTTTTACATTATGTTCTATCACAGTATCTGTGTTTTACATTATGTTCTATCACAGTATCTGTGTTTTACATTATGTTCTATCACAATATCTGTGTTTTACATTATGTTCTATCACAATATCTGTGTTTTACATTATGTTCTATCCCTGTATCTTTCTGGTGTATTGTGTTTTACCAGCACAATCATGTGTGACATGGTGTTCTCTATTGTATCCACCTTATGGTATCATGTTGCACTTTGCAACATCGTGTTCTTTCAGTGTATTTTATCATCAGCACTGTACTGTGGGCATTATCATTCCTCCAGTGTATTTTATCATCAGCACTCTACTGTGGGCATTATCATTCTTCCAGTGCAGTAGCCACGGTCCAGTTTACATTTTCCGGCCCAAACATAGCGTAATTGGGCTTTGTTCATGCTTTGTCACCTGTGACATGGGCTAGCCTATGTTAGAGGGGTGTCACCTTGTCTGGATTTCACGAAGAGGTTTCTATATTGTGCGAATATAGGCGGTGAGATTGCGTGTACTATGGATTTCAGGTAGTCAGATACAGCATAACGTTAGGTCAGCTGTGAATGTTGTCTAGCGACATGCTTTTCTGGAGAAAAACAGGTTTTTAGGGGGGAGCAGAAAATGTTAACAATTCTGAAGCCATGGGATGTGCTCTGGACTCTCTCGTGGGGCTGAGGCTGTGGGGGGTTTGGGTTAGGGCCAGTTCTAGATGTTGGGTCATTTGCCAGTGATGCCACCGGTGACAGTGACACCCTTCTGATATAGACAAGCCTGAGCAAGCATGTATAAAAGGTCAACCAGTGTGTAGTTGGGCCGGACTCGGTAAATGTAGCCACAACTGGTTCACTGTGTTCATTGTGTTGAACATGTTTTTCTGTTGATGCATCCCCTATTGATACCATGTTCAGTATATTTGTTCCCCTTGTATTAGCAGTATAAAAACAAACCAGTGGCCAGGCCAACCAGGATATCATCGATCAGGAAGACATTAAACGTGACCAAGGGAAGGCACCAATGATTGACATTTAGTAATTTAAAAAAAAACGAGTTCTGCTGTAAAATAGGCAATATTCCCTGTGTGGTTTCCTGAGCCACACTGTGAGGGGCAATAGAATAGACCCACTGCATGTCCTAGTAGGAGTTTACTCATTTGGGATGTTTTCCTTCAAAGTCGGAGTGTATCTACCTTACAAATGAGGAACTAACAGTCTGCATACAAATAATCCAGATCTGTAAACAAAAATGCAAACAAAACTTGGGTTCTGGAACAAGACCAAAATCCACAAGGGGATGAACAACCAAAACTTCCCACTGGAGTTTACAGCCGATAAACGTGAGGAAGAAGATTAAAATAGGCAATCTGTGAGTCAGAATGAGTTAAAATAACACAGGATTGGAAAGAGCTTATCTTAGGATGTTGATAGAACGAGTGGATGTTATATAACTGTCTGCAACAGAACACAAGCAGCAACAGACTGAACTGGAACTAACCACGCGACTTATGCTGAATCAAACAAGCAGACCAATGAAGACACAGAAGTAATAATAGCACTCGTCCATCTCTGTGGTAACTGATTGTGTATACGTGGTAGCCACCTCATGGCCAGGGCTGACCCCTACCTAGCTGTTGTTGTTTAGTTGCTGGGTTCGTATCTCTACCTCCAAAGCTTACCTGTCTTCCTGCAGGAATATGATGCCACTGAGCTGGTGAAGGTTTATGATGGACCACCTTTAGACATCTTGGTAGACCAGGTGAGGACATGCTTTCTGCTTCTTCCTCTCATACTCAAACATCACTATCATTGCTGATTATGTTATTTATGTTATCATGGTCAGTTCTTATGCCTATGTTTTCATATCGCTAACATTCTGTTTTCTAAATTGCATCTAAATTTGTTGACCTTACACATCTGATTTTCTGACTGTGTCCTTTGGGAATAGTGCCAGGAACAGATAAATCATTATAGTCTGAGGAGAATGGCACGGCGAGGAGTTACAAGGGAATCTGGCCATCCCTCGACACTCAGGGCAAAGGCCAGATGGATATACAGTCGGAAAGTCACTGATACCATCGGAATTATAAATTCATTGAGACTATTTACAGCATAGCTACGGTATTTGCACCTTTCAGTTAACACCTCCGAGTTCTTTTGACATTTTTTTTTCCATTTTAATGAAAGAATAAATCAGGAATTGGAATCACTGCACGTGGGACCTTCCCATATGTGCTTCGTCCCCTTCTTCAGTAATCAGTGAAGAGCCGACATGTTATAAGTACCAGTTGCAATCTGCTTAAAAATCCACCTTTGCTTCCCTTTCAGTGCTGTTTATATTCCAGAACCTCTACTTACCCCACGTTGAATCAGTTTTTCAGTGTATGGATTCCCTATCTGTTCTTTCCCCCAGATAAACCTTCCCACCTAGTTTTGTGGGACATTGAGGGATATTTTACATCCTCATTTCTGTGGTGATTTGGTCATCCCCTGATCTACAGATTGTCTCCCTAGAATTGGTCAACCCTCATGGAAAGACAGGAGGCAAAGCATGGACATTACTCACCATCCAGGGAGGTTCCACACATGCAGAGCCAATAGAGGAGGCTCTAGCACTGGGCTCACACAAGGAATCGCAAAGTCCTGCTGCCTAATCTCACATCTGTATATTGTATCCTATGATATTGCTTTCTGTCTGTAATAGTTGAATATCTAGACAGTACAGGTGTCGTCTCACATAGATAATGAATGTGCCTTGTGGGAGAGCGTGTACAGTTCGGAGGAGCAGATGGATCACCACAGTCTGGTGAGATTGATGCAGTGGGGAGTGACGAGAGGTTCTGGCAGATGCTCGAGGCTCAGAGGAAAGGCATGATAGATGTTTAATCAGAATGTTACTGGCACCATTAGTATCAGAACTCTTTGCTGGCTGCTGAAGATAGGGATGGAGCGCTAATATGAATGCCCCGAGTGCTGTGATGTCGGTCCTCGAATCAAATCAAATAGATGATGAATACACTCAGATGATAATGAAAAAGCAACTCACGGTGTTACCAAACTTTACAGTTGTACCGGGTGTCGACTTGAGATCACTTTTAGCCAGACCTGCATGATGTTGAGTTAGGAACTTCTTCACACCTTGGTCAGATACATTTTATAACAGTCACACACCTCTCAGAACTCAACATTTCACTCTGGCGGCCAAACACCAACTAACTTGATCACCTCTTTCACCTTCATCTCTTCCTCTCGTTTCCACGGGGGATTTGCGAGCATTACTCTCTCAGTTTCTACTCACTTAACTGACTATTGACCTTCTTTTCTTGGGAAATCCCCTCATTACATGCCCCTTTCACTCTTGACTGGCTGACCACCCACTAGGGATGCCCAGGAAGAAGTCTGCAGACCCCAAACTGTTGATTATCTTCACAAAATGAGCATCTGGCTTCCTTAGCATGTTAGACTTCTCTTTCTGACAATGGCAACTTTTATGAGGATCTCTCCACAGCAGTTTATGTGGCATTTATGGGAAGCATACATCAAGCATGCCCTTCTCCAGATGGTAATTCCACTCTGATGAGTGTAGCCAGGTAGCGGACGGTTGGTTTTGAATTTTGTAAATTAATGACGAAGGCTGTGACAGTTTCATGGCTAACCTACTTGCCTAGTGGTCATAGGGTGTAATCGCGTTCTGACAAGTATTTTTAAAAACTTGACCAGGGCTGTCAGGTTGACTTGACCTTACATGAGTAGCAGGAGTTGTCCTGGAAAGTAAAGCTGGCTGACCTAGCACTAGCCACATTGTATATCTGATTTTCTGAATGCACTTCTGCCACAGCCTTAACACGGATTTATGATCCACTTGTCCAGGGGGCCGCTGACCAGTTCCTGAAAGAGGGTCAGTTACATCCAGAAAGTCTGATGGAGTCGTGCGCTGAAAGCAAGATGCCCATCGTCATGAGGATGCAGGAGGTTTGTTGACATGTGACCAGTCTGTTGTATGTTTGACAGTGTATTGTCCTTCCCATCTAAAAGATTGTAGATTATTTGTTGTATATATCTGTAAGATTGAAGACGGTTGTCTGTATTTTGGATTGTAGACTGTTTGTTGTATGTATCTGTAAGATTGTAGACTGTTTGTTGTATGTATGTTGGATTATAAGACTGTTTGTTGTATGTATGTGTTAGATTATAGACTGTTTGTTGTATGTATATTGGATCATGGACTGTTTGTTGTATGTATGTGTTAAATTATAGACTGTTTGTTATATGTATATTGGATCATAGACTGTTATATGTATGTTGGATTGTAGACTGTTGTACATATCAGGTAAATTGTAGACTGTTGTATGTATGCATTAGACTGTTGTACACATATATATATCTATATATATATAGATATATAAGATTGTAGACTGTTTATTGTATATCTGTTCGATTGTAGACTTTTTGTTGTATGCATTCCTTCTAATGGTTTCAGTGGATCTTGTTTGTACATAATTGATTTACAAATGTGTTGGATCATATCAGTACACTGTTTATTATTAGATGCTTGATATAGAGAAGTTGTACACCTTAGTGGAATGATGGCTAGAATGTATTATGTTTGTATATATTAGGGGAGTGAATCATATTGTATGTAGACTGGATTCACATCTGCAGTGTATCATATTGTATGTACACTAGATTCACATCTGCGATGGATCATATTGTATGTACACTGGATTCACAGCTGCAGTGAGCGTATTCTATGTACACTAGATTCACAGCTGTCGTGATCATATTGTATGTACACTAGATTCACAGCTGTCGTGATCATATTGTATGTACACTGGATTCACAGCTGCAGTGATCATATTGTATGTACACTAGATTCACAGCTGCCGTGATCATATTGTATGTACACTGGATTCACAGCTGCAGTGAGCGTATTGTATGTACACTAGATTCACAGCTGCAGTGATCATATTGTATGTACACTGGATTCACATCTGCAGTGTATCATATTGTATGTACACTAGATTCACATCTGCAGTGTATCATATTGTATGTACACTAGATTCACATCTGCAGTGTATCATATTGTATGTACACTAGATTCACAGCTGCAGTGATCATATTGTATGTACACTGGATTCACAGCTGTCGTGATCATATTGTATGTACACTGGATTCACAGCTGCAGTGATCATATTGTATGTACACTAGATTCACAGCTGCCGTGATCATATTGTATGTACACTGGATTCACAGCTGCAGTGAGCGTATTGTATGTACACTAGATTCACAGCTGCAGTGATCATATTGTATGTACACTGGATTCACATCTGCAGTGTATCATATTGTATGTACACTAGATTCACATCTGCAGTGTATCATATTGTATGTACACTAGATTCACATCTGCAGTGGTATCATATTGTATGTACACTAGCATTCACAGCTGCAGTGATCCATATTGTATGTACACTGGAGGGTCACAGCTGTCGTGATCATATTGTATGTACACTGGATTCACAGCTGCAGTGATCATATTGTATGTACACTAGATTCACAGCTGCCGTGATCATATTGTATGTACACTGGATTCACAGCTGCAGTGAGCGTATTCTATGTACACTAGATTCACAGCTGCAGTGATCATATTGTGTGTACACTGGATTCACAGCTGCAGTAATCATATTGTGTGTACACTGGATTCACAGCTGCAGTGAGCGTATTCTATGTACACTAGATTCACAGCTGCAGTGGATCATATTGTATGTACACTGGATTCACAGCTGCAGTAATCATATTGTGTGTACACTGGATTCACAGCTGCAGTAATCATATTGTGTGTACACTGGATTCACAGCTGCAGTGATCAATTGTTGTTACACTGGTTCACAGCGCAGTGATCAATTGGGTGTATCGCTAGATTCACAGCTGCGTGATCATATTGTGTGTACACTGGATTCACACTGCATTGTC